AAGTTAACTAACACTCAACTGACTACATGATTTGGCCTCAACATTTCAATTTAAATGTCATTTCCTGTCTTCTTTATTTCCATGTTTCTGTTGAACCTGTAAGCTAACATTCAACTGACTACATGATTTGGCCTCAACATTTCAATTTAAATGTCATTTCCTGTCTTCTTTATTTCCATGTTTCTGTTTATTGATTATGGTGATGATGTTACAAAAATACTTAAATACTGTTTTCAAAGAATCAGCTAACCAAAGTTAACACACTTAAACTCTGCAGTTCTCTGGATCAATTGCAGGATGACATTTATTGTTACTTAATTAGACATAAGGTACAAACACGGATAAAATGGCTTCTCCCTGCTATGAAAGAATGTTCCCATTATTAGAAAGCCCAGCTTTTACCCTACCCCATCTATGAGAAATTATCTAATCCTTCAGTTAGAATTTCATTTCCCTCTAAATTAATGGCTAAAACAAATTGTGTCCATTGTTTAACATTTCTCCTATCACTTTTGACAGTCGTATTAATACTCGAGTGCTTGCTATGGGTGATATACATCATCATATATGGATTTACTCTCACTCAGTTCTTCTGACATTCTTGAGAAGGGTCCTATTATCAAACGAAGGCTTAGGAAGGCAAAGTAGCTTGCTGGAGGTCAACAGCCAGCTAGAGGAAGGGTTGGGGTACAAACCTACATGGTCTAATACTGATGCCCGTGCAGGAGCCCTTATCTCCCACACTTGTGCTTCTGCAATTCACCCATCAGAGAAGAGCCAGAACTTCTACTCTTCACACTTTCATCTCTATCTCATTCCCATTTATTCATATTAAGTTCTGATACAGATGGTTTATTGATATAGATTTGATATTTTTATATAACGGAAGACAATTATTTCAGAGAAATAAATACAGAAAGGCCTTATGTGGAAAGGGAGGGAAGTTATTGCTGGGAAAAGACAGTACAACTGTTGGTTGGCTCTTTCTTTCCTTCATGTCTTATGTCAGCCTTAATGTAACGATTACATCAAACAGAGTTGGTATTCAACAACTAATGCGCCCCAAGAATTTAGGAAAACAAAAAGTTTTGATTAAATGTAGTGAGAACATCCCTTAACTTATTTTACACATATTTAAATGGGAAGATTCACAAATCTAAGTTTCAGAACACAAAGAACACTGAAATGTAAAGCACACAAGATAGAGGTGCTGAAGACACAGAAGTAAAAGAAGTAAAAAAAAAAAAAACCTTAAAAGGCATACCAACTAAACACTTAATAAAATAAGGGTCAGGGGCCAGTTTGGTAGTTTGGTGGCCCAGAAGGTAAAGATGCCCATGGCTAGGCCTGATGTCCCAAGTCTACTCCTAGAACCCAAAAGCAAAATGATAAAAGGCTCTAAAGTTGTCCTCTGATCTCCATATGCCACTCAGGCACCATGCATACAGGTGCAGGGTGTGCATGGGCATGCATGACCGTACACACACACACACACACACACACACACACACACACCCTTTAATTAAGAACTAAAACAAAAAAAGGATATTTGAACTGTAATTCCAGCAGTTTGGAGACTGAGGCAGGAGAACTGCCATTAATTTGAAGCCGGCCCAGGCTAGAGAGTAAGCCTGTTTCAAAACAAAAGTCTGAAAAATTGGCTGAACTATAGAGGACTTGAATTTTTTTAAAGTATGAGAATAGCATGAAGAGGGGTTGGAAAGATGTCTCAGTTAAGAACATTTGCTACTCTTGCAGAGAACCCAGGTTTGGTTTTCACCACCAACATGATAGCTTACAACCATCCATAACTCCAGATGTAGAGGGCCCAAGGCTTTTTCTGACCTTGGACAACAGGCATGCATGTAGTATGATATGTACATGCAGGCCAACACTCATCTACATAAAATAAACAAATTTTAAAGGAAAGAAAGAATAATATTAAGAATGTTCTTATATTCTCCACCCAGATTTACCAAACATACCAGATTCAGCTTTTGGCCAATATGTTGCTGAATAAGACACAAGGAATTCTTATATTTTTGGTTATTAGCCTAGCCTTTAACGGCTGAGCCATCTCTCCGGCCAGACACAAGGTATTCTTACGAGCATGAATATTTATAAGCTGTTGCCAAAACATTACATGTTTTCAATCTCCTCTTTATTCAGCATGTATATGTATGTGTATGCAACATGCATGTATGCATGCATATGGTTTCTTAACCATGTAGAATAAATTACATATGTCATAGCCCTTTATCCTTAAGTACAACAGTATTCCTAGTAAAGATATGTAACTATAGCGCATTTTGGAGTGTCAAGTTCTACTCAGTATTTTCATTGATCTACCTTCCACATTCCAGATTTGTCTAGTCACCCAGTAATGTCCTTCACTATCCCCCTACCCCCCACTCCAGTATAGGATCAGATCTAGGGTCAGATTTAGATTTCCTGTTTCTCGACTCCTCTTAATGTCCAGCATTTTATCAGGTTAGGATGTATGGCTCTGAAGAATATGACACATATATACCCCCCTTGACAGATGTCCCCCCAAGGTTAAGGTTAGACTTAGGCTCTACACTCTCAGTCAGAATAGCACATAGGTGACACTGTGTCCTTTTCAGAGTATCACATTTGAAGTGACAATGACTTCTTCATTGGTGAGGATAACTTTTAGCATCAAACTGGCTTCTCAATTTTCCACTGCATAATTACTATTTCTCCCTTATAATTAGCAGTGGTTTGGAGAGTTACTTTTAAACCACATAACTATGTAGATATCTTCTTGTTCATTAAAATTTCCTCCTAAATTTAGCATCTTAATTTGTCCCTAATTCAATCCTTACGAAAACATTCAAAACACTTCTTTCCAAATCTAGCAGTATCACTGCCGTTTCCAGTCCGCACTCCACAATCACCACGAGCCAGAGTGCTCCTCCCTCCCCGTCCATTACCTAATCTAATTATACAGGGTATGGACTTGTGAGTTATCATTATTCCACGGTGGTGCATCATTTACAACTGTGATTAATGCTTTGGTGTCCTGGTTCATCCAGATGCAGGCCCTGTCAGGAAGCTCCTCGTGGTATGGCTCTGTCAACTTTAGCACTGCTTACTTTGTGAAGTTGCTCCAGGCCTAAAGGAGCTGACCTCTCTGCCCTGAAATCTGGCATCTTTCTAGGAATGCACACGTGGTGGTGGTGGTGGTGGTGGTGGGAGGTTCTGAACCAGTGAGAGAGGCTGCTCATTCCATGCAGCGCTTCTAATTCTGCAAAGTTTGGCAGTTTCTTGTTCTCACTGGTTTCTTTAAGAAATTATACAATTTACTATCATGTTCCCAATGCACTTGAATATAAATCTTGGGAATTTAATTTCCATCTCTGTTTTTTTACTACATGTTTGGAACTGTCAGGCTTGTTAGCAAGCGCCTTGACTCCATGAGCCATCTTACTGGCCCTAGTCTTCTCTTCTTAATCCTTTTTAAATTTCAGACTTGAGGCCTATTTCTCTTAGCTCCAATACTTGTTGAAGGCATTCAGCTGAATGTGGAATGCTACATTACAGCTGTCTAATACTTCATTTATTCAATTGCTGTGCACATTTCACCACGATGGAAACGTTTTGTTTTGTTTTGTTTTCTAAGACAGGGTTTCTCTGTGTAGCCTTGGCTGTCCTGGAATTCACTCTGTAGCTCAGGCTGGCCTGGAACTCACAGAGATCCACCTGCCTCTGCCTCCAGAGTGCTGGGATTAAAGGCATGTGCCACCACCAACCAGCCACCAGGACAGAAGCTTTAATTCACATTAATTCACATGAACTTTTGCAGTTTGTTAATGATGTGGTTTTTTTTTTTTTTCTGCTTAAAAAACAATCATTTCATAGAAAGGTCTTGGGTCAAGAGCACTCTTCTGTGCAGGTGCCTTACAGGTTACATTACTGATGGTCCCAGGGTGAGAAATAGGCGGATTAGTCTGCCTTCTCTTTCCCTAAGACCCTTCATTTTCTTCTTGGGGTTTTCTTTCCAGTCACTGCCTAGTCTCAAGGTATTCTGTTAACTTCAGTTTACCTGATTCTCCCTCTGAAGCAACAATCCTCAGTGGTTGCTACTTCTGGTGTACACTCTTTGGAATCAAGTCCTGACCAGCGTTCAGGATCTGGACATTAATTAGTACACCTTTTTTTTGTCCCAGGGCTGATTTTACTTGTGGTTTGTTGGATTCTTGTTTCTCCTTACCCCTTTCAGACTCTTTAATACCTTGTCTGGTCTATGAAGCCTGGACTTCAGTGGCAGGCCGGCTTCAGGACTTACTCTGATAATAATTTACTCTCCTTATATGTACTTTCAGAGGTTTACTCTGGTCTCTGTCACGGCCATATTGAAGATATGAGTCACACATGGCTCTGTTTGTCTTCTTGGCTTATTTAATGCAGTGTGAGGGGGTTCAGAATCAAGCAACCACTCTTCTCTAACAGGGTTCAACTGACACTGAATTCTTGCTTAGCGTGTATTCACTGTTTGTGCTTCTACTTTTTCATATTGCCATTTGTCTTGTCCTAATCTACTTCCAGTTTGGTGAAGACTATGGAAAGTGAAAGCAAATATTTAATCATCTATTATTAACAATTAACTGTAACAGTGCTCTTTTGGGTGAAGTTTTGGGGAGGAGTGCTTGTTTGGTTTTTCTTTAATAAAAATCTCAAAGTACAAATAACGAAAGAAAGGAAGAGAAACAAAAGGGAAATGAAAGAGAATAGAAAAGCAACAAGACTGGTCATTTTGGTTCATGGAAGCCATTTCAGAGTTTTTACATTTGTTGAGTAACAGAGCAGGACTCTAGTGGGGATAAACTCCAAATGTTCATTTTTAAGAGTTCTACAGTTTCCTCCTGTTCCATTTGCAGCAGCAAATTCTGAGATATGATGAAGTATCACTGCTTTAAAATTTGGGTAGGCTCATGCATCCCACCTTCATGCACCCCCCCATCCCCACACAGACTTACCTGCTTCACGTTTTGGAGTTCTTCTGTTAACTGCTTCCTATGTCTCTCTGATTCAAGTAGTTTCTCCTGTGTTAAAAACCACTGAATTAATAGCATGTCATTGTGACACCAAGTATGATTTCTAGTCTTTTGTTTCTAAGGTTATTCTCCAAACATCAAATTGCTAAAATCTCCTAATGCAATTCCTGGTCATTTTCCTGGTCTCACATAATACTAACTAGTAGTCACCCAAGTATAATTATGGTGAAAATATTCTTTATTACTGTAATGTTATACAATGTCAAAATCTGAAATCCAAAAGAAGTCAGTCAGGATTGAAATGGATAGATAGCAACTAAATTTTGGGTGATGGCTATCATACCAAGGAGCTACCAGATAAAGGGCCTTATTATTCTGAATTGAACATAAAAAGCTTCTACTAATACCAAAGAAAGACTGGGTCGACTTAGTTTCCTAATGTAATTTTAGCCCATTTCCAAACAATTAAGTCACAAAACGGATATAACTATTATAGCCAAAATATGAAATACATAGTTGAATGTAACATAAAGGTAAAATATTATCATCTTTGAACCTAGAGCTAAACCACACATGTTCTCTTAGATGTCCTATCTTGTTGAGTGGTCTAGTAAAAAATGGCTAGTGTCTTAGCCAGCTTACTGAAAATGTGAACAGGCTATTTGGACCTTAACTAGAGTGGTGAAGATTCATGGCAACATCATCATGTTTAGAAGAAGCAAAATCTGACCTCTGGAGTAACCCAGCCTGCTATGGTCTAGGAGGAGAAATGAAGGCAAGTGAAGGTGAATACAACATAGGGGTCTAATAACTGCCACAGGTCAGCAGCGGAGAGCCTGGGGCCTTCTGTGGGTTTACACTCTGCAAGCCCTCTTCACTACTGGTGCTCTGCTCTGTTTTCCTTTGCACCTGTAAATGGGAAATTTACCTATACCCACTCTTCTTTCAAAGTGGGAACAGTCTGAATTCTGTGAGAGTCTTAGGGTTAAATAGTTCCCATAGCACTATTAAGGAGAACTTCTTCGAAATAAAAATTAGCCATGGGCCAATTTGTACCTCAAGTGAGACACAGAGACTCTGAGCTGTCGAAGGATGCTGATGAGTGGTAGCAGACCATTTCTATTCTATGGTCCTCACTTAACGAGCTCTGCTGCTCTCTCTCTCTCTCTCTCTCTCTCTCTCTCTCTCTCTCTCTCTCTCTGTGTGTGTGTGTGTGTGTAGACACCTGTAGCAAACAGGTATAATGACTAAAAATGCAAACATTGTCAAGCAAAACGTTTACTGCTTGACATACCATTTATACGTTTAAGTTTTAATTTAAATTAAATTTTTTCGTTTTATTTTATGTGTATGGTATCTGACCTGCATATATGTGTGTGCACCACATGTATATTTGGTGCCCACAGAGGTCAAAAGGGGGCATAGGATCCCCTGGAACTGGAGTTATAGATGGTTGCAAACCATCATGTGGGTGCTGGGAATAGAACCTGGATTCTAATGTCTGGAGAGCTACAAAAGATGACACCAACTAACAATCTAAGCAACAGAGGAGAGGCTACCTTAAATGCCCTCTCCTGATAATGAGATTGATGACTAATTCATATGCCATTGTATAGCTTTCGTCCAGCAGCTGGTGGAAGCAGAAGAAGACACCCACAGCTAAACCTTGAACTGAACTGAAATGCCAGTGCAGAGAAGGAGGACTATAATGAGCAAAGGGGTCCAGATCAGGCTGGTGAAACCCACAGAAACAGCTGACCTGAACAAGGGGAGACTCTTGGTCCCCAGACTGATAGCTGGGAAACCAGCATGGGACTGATATAGACCCCCTGAATGTGGGTGTCAGTGAGGAGTCCTTGGAAATCTATGGGGCCTCTTGTAGTGGATCAGTACTTATCGCTACCATAGGAATGGACTTTAGGAGCCCATTCCACATGGAGTGATAGTCCCTGAGCCTAGACACAAGGGGGTTGGCCTAGGCCCTATCCCAAAGAATATGACAGACTTTGAAGACCCCCTATGGAAGGCCTCACCCTTCCTGGGGAGCAGAAAGGGTATAGGATGAGTAGGGTGTTAGTTGGGGAGGTCAAGGGAGGAGAGGAGGGAGAGGGACCTGCGATTGACATGTAAAATAATTTTCTTTCTAATAAAAAAAAATAAAAAACAAAAAAAGACAAAAAAAAAAAAAGAACCTAGATTCTCTGTATTGAACAACAGGTACTCCTAATGACTGAGACACCCCTCCAGCCCTCATGAAACTTTAGAAATGAATGGGTCTCAGAGAAAAGATTTAATGTAGAAGAAATTTAAGGCAGAGTCTTTTTATTCTGGGACTTCGGGTTTTGCAACATTAAAATATGCTCAATTATAGTTCATGAACTTGAAAGGGGATCTTGATTAAACAGCTCCTCATGGGGCCCTTGCTTAAATGTTACATCAGTGTGGTTTTCAGTTTTAAAGTTAAAGTTCTAGCAATTAATATTGGCATTAAAATAAAACTCAAAATATATCATTAAATCTAACAGTGATAAAATTTAGGGAAACCAAAAATATCTAAGACCCTTTGAAACCTGTGACATCTGTGGATTTTGTTTGCATAAAGATGAATCACATAGAAAATTCTGTCTTGCCAATGGAACCAACACTACAGGGCTGTTCCAAGAGAGTAAGAAGAAACTAATGATTTGAAAAATGAATTCTCTATTTCCATCTAGATACACCAATTTGTGGAAAGGTGGTGTTTTCAGAGTTATAAAATATAACCACAGTTGTGGGATACTCATTTATATTCAAAGGAATATGAATTGCTAAAGCCTTATGAAAGAAAATTGGGAGAAATATATAGAATGTTTTACATTGGTATTCTCTAATATTGCAATTCCATTTTGGCAGATTTACTGTGAATTTTCACAAGTGCCCACCCACACATCTACAGTCACTAAAAATGGAATTATCATTATCTTTACAAATTTACTTTTCTTTCATTTTCATGTGTGTGTATCTATTGTGTGTATGTCACATATGTGTGGGTGTCCTTGGAGGCTAGAAGATGGTGCTACGAGCTGATGTGGTTGTTGGAAACCTAACTGGGGTCCTCTGTACTAGGATAATGTTCTCCTAACAGTTGAGCCATCTCTCCAGTCCCTGGAGGTAGTTTTGATAATGGAAAACTGAAGATAACCCAAATATCCATTAACAGAGACATGGCTAAAAACCCTGTAAAAGAAGCGCCTGGTATAGGGGATCTCCACCATGGAAGACACAGGAGCGCTGTGGTAGAAGTTGCCATGACTCATCTTGAAGCATGGGCAAAACCGAAGCCAACCTATAATAAAGTGGTTCTGTAAGAACTGATCTATGCTTCTTTTTAATTGTTTAAAGAATTCATTTTTTTAAGCATTTTTTTTTTGGTTACAGTTAAAGGTAGAAGTTGGTACAGAAGTCCCTATGTGTCTCTGACCTCTACACATATTTGTTTATTTAAAAAAAAATGTGATTTGGCTGTCTTCATATCTCTGAGAGTATATGCTAAAATTTTTTAATATCAACTTCCTCTAAAATCTGGCATTATAAAACAACAGTAGAAAGAAAATGGTGTTTCTCTTTTTGAATAAAGAATTTATACCAATGAAATTAAATAACTAGAAGGACTTCTAACAAGAGTTTAAAATGCATATTTTTATGGTAAAGTGATCATAAAGTAATTATGTTGTTTTCCTTGTAAAAGTCAGGATTTAACTTAAACCCAACATTCCACTAAGAACAGAATGCCACTCTAGAGAGTGAATCAAAATGTTATCGTGTATTTGGAGCATATGTGATTTGTTCTACCCTGAAAACACAGTGCCTTCATTTTCAAGTTGCATTAGCAAAACACATCGGCCCTCAGACATGGCCCTGCACCTGGAAAAAAAAAAATTTATTTCCTACGAACAGCAGAGGATTCAAAATTATCACAGCTTGCTTCGTTTGGCTCCTCAGCTACATCTGCTGTTGCCACCAATATGAGAGAAGAGGAGGAGGAGGAAGAGGAGCCAGATCAGACACGAGAGGAAACCTACTGCACACACCGGATCTTATGTGTGTATCACAAGGTGGGGAAAAGTGAGTGGAAACTACAGGATAGCTCTCTAAAGACAATTAGACAGGCGATTTGATCCTATCTGATACTAACATACTTCATTAAGAACAAAATGAGCTCAATACTGCAGAATCCGGGACGGGCTCATGTTTTTAAAAAGGAAACATAAGGAAGCCGGAGGGATGGTTACCTTAAGCACATTCACTTCTGCCCGGGCAGCATCTCTTTCTTGTCTAAGTTTTCCCATTTCATCTGCTTCTAGAGAATCACAGGGAAGAAGCTGTCAACATTAAAACACACAAGTTATGCATCAGGTGCTAACCTTGAAAACAGAAAGTCATTTTTCACTACCCTCAAACTTTTGCCCCATGACTAAATTCAGGTTTTCTTTTGGGGTTGTTTGATGAGGTAAAAGAAAACTAATGTACATTGTTCTCTTAATGGACACTGCTCTCCCAAGCTTTCCCTTATACTGTTGTTACTTGTAATTTATATGATTAAAAGACACATGTTTATATTTTTATATTTTAAAGATGTATTTTTTATTTTATATGAATGAGTTTGTGCCTGTGTTTATGTAGCGCATGTGTGCAGTACCTATGAAGGCCAGAGGAGGGTACTGGATCCTTAGGAACTGGAGTTAACAGGCACCCTATAGGCATTGGAGCAGCCAGTGCGCTCAACTACTGCACCATCTCCAGACCCAAGCTGTCTTGAAATGCTCTCTCCTGCAGTGCTAGCCACTGCCTCCCGTGCTTTCTGGAATTTCACGTTATGGCTAGTGGGATTTATTCCTATATCTTTACTAGGAGGGGAGTGCTATGGTTCCCTTTCATCCATAAACTAAGTGACCAAAATCACTGTCATGCTCCAATTTGTGACTTTTCAGAAATGTTCAAGTCCCTCTCTTGCTGTACAGATATTTCAAATAGCTTTGATTGTTTGTACCTGTCAGAACCTTTAACTTGCATACTATAAAGCACCATCCATCCATCCATCCATCCATCCATCCATCCATCCATCCATCCATCCTAATCTCCTGAATAAGGGTTTCTTATTTCCCAATATCCACTGAGGTCCCATCATTCATAAACATACTCATGAGAAATTGAATTATTGCTAGCTCATTCCTCTCCCCTGGGTGTCACATCTAAGTGGTCAGCAAGTTCCACTGATGACATACTTGTTTTGTGTTCATATCATAATCTGTCACTCCCATTCTTGACACAATTGCTGTACTTTAATTCTCCTGTATTTGGATTTTCTCTATTTCCCTACATCCTAACCCCAATTTTCCTTTCTCATAGGATACACACAGTTACTATTTCTAAAAGGTCACTTTGATTATGGCACAATATTCTGTTTCATGGATTGCTGCTACAGATTAACATATAAAATTATATATTATATTGGGCCCTTTAAGATCTAACATATAACCTTTATGAATATGATTATCATTTTTGAAGTCTACCTTTTGTCAACAATCACATTTTATCTTTTTTTTTCTGTTTCATTCTAAGATTTTGTATTGGTGATGGTCATTGGTGATGGTGAGACAGGGTTGGTTATGAACTTGTCTCAACCTCCCAAGTGCTGAGTACAGCCTACAACACCACACTCACTTTCATTCTAAACTCCTTGGTCTCTCCTCTGAGAAGACTCAATTTAATCTTTCTTTAAAAAATGAATTCAAATGCTAACTTTATTATGCACCTCCTTGAATGTTCTAAGTTCTGTTACTATTCTAGCCCAATGTCCTTTGAAAATTATAATTATTTGTGTACTTGGCTCTCTGGAAAAGTATAAGAAGCAAATTTTATCTATCTTAATTAGCGTGTGCCATGGCGCCTAACACAAAGTTATCAACATTGTACTTTATCAGTATATATCTGATATCATAAGATGGTTCTTTAGAAGTAATAAGGAGTTTATTGATAAACACAGTGCGAATTATGATTTATATCCTGACCCAGTGTCAGTGAAACATTACAGTCTCATCACACATAACTCTGTTTGATATTTTCATTCAGTGTTATGTCATTTTTTAAAACAATGGCCTCAATACACCAAACTAACAAGAACTTAAAACTGTGAAAAATCTACTTTGGGGAATTTACATTTACATGTTCACTGCTGTTTGAAAATAATCCATTTGTGATACTTGATCACACTAATACATCCATCATACTCTAATGAACTTCAGTCTGTTGCCAAGTCTGGAGTTGTGTTGGGTATGGATGTAGGCTCCAACCTTCCCTTTTCTGTGTATGACCTTGTACTGGTAGCAGGTGTAGCACTGTGTGAAGTTTTTAATATAGAAATGATTATTAGAATCACAGCAAGATACTTATATTTTGGGTTCTAAATGCTACATTCTCCTAAATCCAAAAGTTCATTGTCAGATAAACAAGAGCAGTACTGACAAGCACTGACTTAGCAATTCCTCCTTAAAAAACACGAGAGCCTGACATCTGAATCAGAGAAAGTGATGATTGGAACAGCTAGTTACAGGGCACACACCCTGTGATTCTAGTTATGAAGTGCAAGAATGATGGACTCCTCCTCTGTAAGGTCAAAGCAGCAGTTCCATGCCCAGGTGAGATTGGAAGAGACTTTTGAGTGGTGATGTCAAATGAGATACATGACAGGGCTGGGTGGTTGGTGACACACACCTTTAACCCCAGCACTCAGGAGGCAGAGGCAGGCAGATTTCTGTGAGTATAAGGCCAGCCTGGTCTACAGAGCTAGTTGCAGGACAGCCATGGCTTTTATACAGAGAAACCTTGTCTCAAAAAACAAAACAACAACAAAAAGATGCATGACAGACATCCATGAAGCTGTAGACTTATTGCTGTGTCTCATCATGTGTTTGTGACAGTTCAGTAAAGATATTAAAATATTAAGAAGCTGGATGTGGCAGTACATGCCTGGAATCCCAGAACTTGAGGGTAAAGCCAGGAGGAACAGGAAATCAAGGCTAGCTTAGGCTACATAGTGAATTTGAGGCCAGCCAGGGTGGCAAAGAGCTTCTTAAAACAAACAAACAAATAAATAAATAAATAAACAAATAAATCAATAAGTAAATAAACAAAACAAAAAATCCAAATAAAATAAAACTAATAAAAATAAAACAATGGATTATGAAACAACAAACTAGGACACAGTTGCCAGCAGAAATTCCCCGCAACTTTTTCTGCTCTTTTCTCCTTCCCTTCCCAGGTGTGGCATAAATCCTAGTGCTTCTTGCCTTAACACTCTTAAGGACTCCTTCCCCAGGACAGCAATCAGACTTCCACTCAGAGTCTCTCTGCTTTCTTGACCTCTAATTCAGAAAGCATTAAATATCTCATCCTCTTTCCCACATCCCTTCCAGAAGTTGCCAAAATCTCCAGCTGGCCTGCTCTGTTGCTTTCTCTCAACTCTAATAGAAACATCCTCAAGTTTTCTTCTGAATCCATCTTCAAATTCTTTTATTTGTAACACAGACCTTGTACCAGGGATCCTCTGTCTCCCACTCCTATACTGTTTGGTGAGTCTAAGTGATGCAAACTGAAACTGAAGATCTTCTTAGATAGAACAGGCCATCCTATATGACTTCAGACACATAAATGAATTTGTAGACCCGTGATGTGTCACTTTAGCTTTTGTTGTTAATCTATCTGACAGCATTTGTGTTCAACAGTGTCCCCACCAGAATCCAAAAACCCAACTTTTGGGTGATGATGCATCAGAAAATCCAGCCTGTGTTCCAGATGAGCAAAATCTGATGCTAGGACCTTCGGATAGAGAATGGACTGCCTTTTACTCCTCTGCTCCTGTGGCCCACTCTTATTTAGCAAGGATTAGGAAGTATCTAAAGTACTACTCAGCAGAAGATGAAGAACCTAACATTCCCACCTACCCCTCTATCTACCCTTCTATGATTATGAAGGTCCTTATTCCTCTAGGAGGAATTGTAGGGGATGGTAGGTAGGGAGATAAAAACTGAAAAGGACCATTTGTGGCCACCAGCTTTTCAAGTACCAGTTACAAGATATGCATGGTATGATCTATGGATGACATCTTTCCTAATACACACAGTAAGTATGCCCGATGTTGGAAATCCCCTTTTGAGATATACAAATACCAACATAGTAACATTCTCTAATGTAAACTGCATGGTTTATGGGTTATGATTGGTAACCTCCTCTACAAATAGTTTGGCTGGAGGATGACAATACCTTTTAATGTGGTCAAGAAAAGACCTTGCCCAGCCAAGGCAAGTGGATCTCCTGTAATGAGCAAAAAACCTTGTTTTACAACCTCAAGGTGGGTACCCTGATGTCAGAAACATATACTTGGAGTCATGGCAGAAATGGGGGGGACTAACATCCTCTTAATGAGATATGTATTCACATACCCCATAAGCTCCTCTTCAACCAGCTGCTTGAACACCCGCAATGCTAAGCTTGTTTACCTTCTGAATTCTGACTCTCTGAGCAGTAACTTTTTGTCCTGCCCCCTTTCCATGTCTCTTCTCTAGATACTATCCAGAATCCTAAGCCTCATTGTTCTGATACTCATGGCATTTTCATTCTCTTGTAAGTCTCCACCCACTCCAATACAGTGACCTCTGACTCCTTTAGGAGGTGAAGCCTAGTGGAAGGTCAATGCTTTTTGGCTGGGCCTTCCTCGCCTTCTATTATCCATCTCTCTCCCCACAGCAGCTGAGACCTGCAACTTACTTGCTCTGTGTTTTCCCTCTCAAATGCCAGTGAGATTGACCTTAGCCTTAGTTTCTGATTCTGTTTTAAAATTCTTTTAGCTATGTGACTAAGAACCTGAAAAGGAGACTCTATATCTCTTGGTAATATTCCCACTTTTAGGTTTAAATATGTGTCTTTCATTTTTCATTCCATTCCATTCTCCGTCTACTTTCGCTCAGCTTAACTTTGCCTACTTTATCTTCCTTCAAGGCTGAAGGCACAGAGACAAGTCACTGTCCTTAACCTTTCCTCTTAAAATGCCTTACAGTCCAGGGACAATGGGACTGGAGACAAGTGACTAAGTCTACTCTCAAGCAACAATGAACCTATAGGACACACCACCCCAGAATGAAAACAACTGTCAGCAATACAGAGCATATTCCCTGGAGCAGATTCTTTTATAGAAACCAGTCTCCTGGGTTGATGATATCCAAGGACCATCCTGTAGTGCTATAGCTCAGGCACAGATAGGTGGGCCCACACCTTGACCAGGATTACTTAATTATTCATATATCCTGGCCATGACCCAGTACCTTGCTCTATTTAAATCAAAAGCTCACACCAACACCCTGAAGATGGACCTGGGAACCACTAGACCCCCTTTATATGTTCTTCCTAATGTGCCACAGTTGAATAAAACTCCTGTCTGTGCTTTTCACACAGAAAGGGAAGAAAAACCAACTATCTTTATCAGCCACAAAGAACATATGAGTTCATCAACTATCTTTATCAGCCACAGAAGGAGAACACAGGCACCCCATGTAAAATAATTAGAAACTTGACCCTATTATTGTGAAAATATGGCTGGGGTAGCCATAGTGGAATTTCCCCACCTTCACAGATTGTCAACATCATCTACCACAGACACTGACTGTTTCAGAGCAGGCATTCCACTGTTTTTGAACTTAAACACTTTTGGGACTTACACAATGAAACAATAACTTGGTTTTCATTTGTTTCTGGTGAGCTACTTAACAACTGGTGACTTTCATAGTGCTCTTAAAATTGTAGTATTTTCTCCCCTCATGAATTGTAAGATGAAATTTTTAATGAAATAGAATTCAATAATATTAAATGAGAATTCAGTGTGTGCTTTGGGAGACTTCTTTCATTGTACATGTGACTGGAATGGGAAATGTGTTCTTATTATGGATTCAATTGGAGAAGAAAAGGAAAGCTCACACTTGACAACAATATCATCTGTGTGATTATAAGCAGAAGGCGACAAATAGAATTCCATAAATTAATAATGACTATTGCACAACATTTTGATCTACAGCCTCAACAGGAAATCATTGGCACACAGAGCATGTTGCACAACTGCCATCAGTATGGTGCTTTTGCTTTCAAAGCATTGCAGACTGACTACACTCTTATCTGCCCTAAAATCCTGTTGGTAAGAAGGAAACAAATTACTCATTCAGAGCATGTGCATCGCTTTGCAGCTGCTCCAAAAGCCCTGCATGCTCATACAGGTCTCCATGCTACTGGCACACCATGAAGAAGCGTTGCCTTTGCTCGAGAAATGGGCACATCAACCTTGAGAACTGTTTAGCAGAAAGACACAGATTTGCAGGGAATGTTCGCTAGCTAAGTGCCTAGACACAAATCTGCAAAAGGAAAGAGGGCTCTACAGTTCAGCTTTTTGCTAAATGCCAAAGGATTCCTTCTAGTAAGTTTGTGCCTTCATTCTGAGTCAGGTACTCTCTTTGGAGTAACTGAATAGCTAGGCTTTTGGAAGACTGTGATGAGTAAAATGATCAGTGGTAAAATAAATTACTTATTGAATTTTTCAAAAAGTGGTTTGAAATGTTAAAAAATGTGGCATGAGTAATCTTTAAATGAGAGGATCAGATTCATTTTTACCAATAAATTAGTCATGCAGCTACTCTGCATTTCTAGCAACATATAAACTAATACCAGCATTGAAGCTCCCTGTCAATTAGACCTATTATTGAAAAGCAATCAGGCTAAGGTTTCGATGTGGTTTGTTCTTAAAGGATTCACATTTTGGAGACATGGTGCTCAGTGCAGTGAAGAGGTGGGGATGTTTTCAGGAGGTGAAGCCTAGTGAAAGGTCATTGCTTTTTGGTTTTTAAAATGTGATCCCTTAGTCTCACAAGGGCTCCTTCCTTTGTGATGCAATCTGTCTATAGGCCTTCCCCAGAGGTCTGTTCACTGATCCTCTCCAATATTGGACTTTGATCTGTAACCGTAGAGCTGGTAGCTAAAGAAACTTCTTAGTCAATCTAACTGGTTATAAGCAGTTCATTATAGCAACAAAAAATTGCAATACTACAATTAGAGCTCCAAATATAATTATGAAAAGTGGGACATGGGAATTTTCTTATTTATAAACTTTAATTAAAATAGAAAATATAAGACTTCTAAATATAAAGTGATATCAGGATATCATTCAAGGCATATAGAGAATAGAAGAGCTAACAGATAAAATGAAAGACCAATTTCTGAGTATAAAGTATTGATGTATAAATTTAAAAGAATAGTTATAGGCACCAAAAACTACTGTGTTTGGATTCTACTAGATGTACTGTAAAGTATTACAAAAAGTGTAATTATTGGAAACCAAACAACACTAGGATAATATACCATTGAGTTAGGTAGAAAAGCATAAGAATGTATTATAGAGTCAGACACTCAATAGTTGCACATATCCAATGTATAAAAAAATAAAAATTCTTTTTCTAATAATATCACAAAGTATATCAAATTTGGTAGTTAATTTGATAGACATATTTGAGGTGTATATGAAACATGTCATACTTTTTTCAAAACAAGAACAAAAATATAAATAAATAAGGGAAAGTAAGTCATGCTCAGTTTGCAACCAAATCATTCAGTGCAATTACTATAAAGTAAGTACCTCAAATATTTGATATCATGGAAAAATTATTTAAAACTTCATTTTCAGATCAAAGAAAGAAGCTAATAACAACATCCTTAGCTTGCTAATATCAGTGAACCCAGTATTAACTAAATATAATGCACTAGCAGAGAGAAATAAGTGAATAGAACAGAGAGTGGGACAAAGAACATATCTGCATACAGAGTTAGATATTTACTATATGCTTAAGTTTGCATTTCAAGTCAATGGGAAAATCAGAGAAGGATGGGTTACTAAGAGACTGGAACAAGGATGAGTAGTTATACATACATAAGCATGAGTACCTTCTGGCTTAAGGAGATATGTGAACTACATATAGTATGTATTTGGGCTGAATGTTCAGTAAATATCAATAATCCATAACAGAAAGTACTAAAAGATTTGATGAGGAAGATTTCAAAGTTCTGTAGATTAAATCATTTATGAAGTAAGTAAGCTTCATAATTCAATCTTACTAAGACACAACAGCTGGCAAAACTTTGTTTTGTTTTAGGAAGCGCAAGTGTGGTTGCCCTGACTTTTCTGAGTAGGGGCTTGCCACTGGTAACTGAAATGGAACACGCATGGAGGAGAGAACCTGTGGGTTTAGAACTGTATGCCCTTAACATTATACCTCATGGGAATGGCTCAGATTGTGACATATAACTGGGTGTGCGCTCATAGGCACTTTTCTGTGCATATTTTATGATGATTCCAGACAGACTGGGATGGGTACACACTCTACTCTGTGTTGCTAGCTAATGATAACGCATGCCTTTCCACATGGCAGACTGTCAATACTGCTCAACTAAGGGGTGGAACATAGCACAGGGGCCTGAGGACAAAGAAGACAGAAAAACCTTATACTTTTGATTAATCTGTAGTTTTACATATTTGTTCAAGGAATGTGTTTTGTTCGGAGAATTTTTGTGTGTATGCTTGTGAACCTGTGTGCACTTGTCTACACGTGTGTGTGCATTCATGTGGATGCACACGGAGTAAGAGGCTGACATCAGGTATATTTATTTGTCCCTTCTTCTCCACCATAGTTTTTGAGATCAGGTCTCTCATTGAACCCGATATTCATCAAGTCAGCCAATCGGCCAGCAAGGTCCTAGAGATCCCGTCTGCCTACTGAGCACTGCTGATTGGTGGTGCTCAAGTCCTACTTCCACGTGAGTACTAGAGACCCAAGCTCAGGTCTACACATCCAGACAAGTGATATAATTTGAGAAATTAAAATCCAGTGTAAACTGGAGAACATGACCCACAACATTCAAGGATGTGCCCTATGTTCAATCAAAACATAAAACAGAGGGCATACTCTACCTGTGAGTCCAAGATGCTGGAGATCTCATGGGCACTGACATTTACTTCATCCAACTGCAAGCAAAACAAATTCCTGGCAACCTGGACGAAATCTAAAGTGAACATATTATGATAAGAACGTAGCATTTATTTTCTTATTTTCTTCTTAACAGATACTACTTTCTTCTCTGGAAAGCTAAAGTTATGCGTTTCAGGTTAGCTTACACAAATTATCCTAAAACAGTACTGACAAAAGTGACAAGTAAATATAAATTTAGATAATAGAAATGCCATGCTTTATATCACTTCAGTTAGCTTTGTCACATAATTCAGTTAAACCATAAAGCAAACACATATCACAGACATCTAATTCCCTAATTCTCACATTATGCACACAATGCTTTTTGGGGAAAAAAAAAAAGAGGCAATATTATGACAGGGCTTTTCAGGCTGAAAGAATCTTCATCATAATAGCAACAGTCAGTTTTTTTTAACAGCTGTATGTGTCTAGGGATCATCCTCACACCATCCCTTACCTCCTTCTGAGGCAAGTCCTTCCTCTATTCTACAGATGAGCAAATCAGGGCTGAGACAGGCTTTCTTAAATTTACCAAGGCCACTCGGCAAGTTGAGCATCAGACACTGTGATGGTCCACCGGTCAATGTATCCTAAGTAAGTTTTCATTGTAGCTATTGCATTGTAATTTCAAAGGATCCTTATAAATGGCCTCTGTTCTGACTTTACAAATTTCTGCTCTTTATGGCTGCATTATCGATTCTCATCTTTCTAAGGGTATTAGTTTATCTAAAGTTACTTTCTGCTCTCACCATTTCTTTTTCTTTCTGTTTTCCTGATACTTTTGGGATGGATCTTATCAAAAAAACCTTGATTTTTGAGTTTACATTTAACAATGAATGAGGCACTAAAAAGTTTCTTGGAAATTATGTGTGCATAACTTGCCTTGTCAAATGAAAGGATTATTTTACTATAGGAAAAACAGTCTGGTGGTCTGCTGGCATTTTGTTTAGATTCCTCAAAGACACACCCTCCTATGGTTATAAACATGGATGCAAACGTCACTGAGCATCTGGGTACGTGTTTTGAGCAATGACTCACCACAGACAACTCCAAATTCCCTTGCTTCTAGTAAGTACAGTTCCACAACATCTCTGGTTTGATTTATTAATGAAATATGTACATTTCCTCCTGGAAGTTTAAGCCAATAATAGGTGCTACAGTGATTAAGAAAGGGAGAAGGTAGCATGGATAAATGTCCGTATCAGCATTTCTAAGAAATCTGATTTTAATGTGCAGCCTAAACCAGCCTAAAGTTGTATTTACTCCAAACTAGCTTGCCCTGCCTGGGAGCCTTCCATCTTCAGGTGCCTGTGCTTCACCTGCCTCTGCACACTAACGTAGGTACTGCTCTCTCTGCACTCATCTTCTGTCCTTACAAATACACACACACACACACACACACACACACACACACACCCAACACACACAACTTATAAGGGCAGAAGACGGGTGCAGAGACAGCAGTGTGTGCTGTGGGGGGGGATTGTTGTTGTAGTGGAATGTATATTTCCGTTTCCTGTTACTATTATCTGCCGGGTGATTTTCAAGAAGAGATGGGACCCCAAATATCTGTTTTTCCTCCTTTCAAATATAAAAAAGGAAATTTCTTTATTTTAATAGAGATGTTTTAAAATGATACAACGTAGCATTTATTGTGTGCACTATAGAACAAATGCTAGGTAATCGTTACATTCAAGTAGTAGAACAGACAAATAGGAAACTGTTTTTGGAACAAAGCTTAGTGGTAGATATCAAAATTCCAAACCATTGTGGGGGTTATCCTATTAAAAAAAAAGAGAGAAGAAATTGCTACATTTGTAAGTATAAATGCAGATCTATAAAAGCTGCAACAAATATAAATTTGTAATAACAGCTACTGAGAAACCATCAATATGCCAAGAGTGGAAAACTTGGTACATTATGCCATAATTACTCAGTGGACAAAAGCTTCCTATTCCCCTAGCTGAAAAAAAGGAGGTAGGAGTAATTAGTAGTGAAATTAAAAAATATATTTTGCACTGATTCCTTGTGTTATTATTAAAGCAACGATTATGCCATTAATAAAGCATGCAAAAAGAATGTGATGTGATGGGTCCTGATAAAGGTCTCTCTTTTGCTGACCCAGCCAGGTTAGTTTCAATGGCTGTTTTTAAAGTGCCTGTTAAGGAATGTGCAGTGGCATGTTGTGAGTTTTCATTCTCCCTCTGAGGAACAAGTTCTCTTAATGAAAGTGGGTCACAATGACTTCCACCAACTGTCTGTGATAGTACATCATGATGCACTTAAGATATTACCTCCAAAAGATACTGTCCCCTTTGAGTCTGCCTGGATTTGCTGTCTCAGGGCTTCGTGTTGTTCCTTTGTTGGCTGAATACCGAGGTAATTGAGAGCCTGGAAGGAAACGGACTTATGTGAAGCAATTTTCGAACTTCCAAAGGGTAAAACATTTTACTAGGACAATATTTTACAATGCAGTGGAAAACCAAATCATCAGGGGGAACCGTGACCTGAATTAGATCCCATGGAAAGTCTGTTGACCGTAGGTTAACTATCTATAAATGATCACCTTCCTGAGTCTGCCACACCCCATCCCCACAGCAAATATCTCGGCTAATACCATATTTACAAACATGGCTACAGGACCAGAAATAAAATTATTTTCTAGTTTATGTGACCTTGCCGAAGAAAAATAACAGAAAATTTTTTACTGAAGTCAAATTTATATATAACACTCAAACAAACAAACAAACAAAAAAACCCCATGACAAGCATTTGGTTGTTATCTTGAGACTAGAAATGAAGTTGATAGAATTGTGTTAAATGGCAAATATTCTTAATTTTGGCTTTAAATATTCTTAAAGTTTTCCCTGAAACCCATTTCTCTATCAGGCTCTTCCCTTTGGGTAAAGTAACTTCTGTCTTTAAAATTGAAAAAAAAAAATAGAAACTCCCATGTACTCTACTGTCCTTTCTATGATCTTTAGTCTTAGACAGAACCAACCATAATTTCCTGGTAAAAGATATTGGCAGCCCACTTTGCCCTTTGATGAGGTTCTGGGGCTATGAGCTAGCCAGTGGAGAAGTGCTGGAGAGCATGCAGGAGGTCTCCTCTCAAAAGTAGAGGACACAGTTCTCCCCTTTGCCTTAAGGAAAAGGGAGAAAGGATAGAAGTGATCAGGCACCTTGACTCACAAGGAACCTCAACATGGCAGTCTGTCTGAAAGGCTGGAATATAGGTCCCTGACACCCTAAACTTTTCTTTATTTTCTTTTGTGTTATGTGTAGCCCCAAGCCAGCCAAAACTAAGACATTAAGTTTCCAATGGAAACCACCGCAATTTGGGATTCTCTAGTTATATATAACCCAAACTAATTTTAATGCACAAGAACTGACTGGGTGCCCTATCATTGGATTCTACACACAATGTCGGTCATGTTAAAGCTAAAGAAATCACATTAAAACTAAACAATACCCTTGACAGATCACCTTCTCATTTGGAATATGTTCAAATGGTCACCAGTTCTTTAACCAAATACTTATTTGTTGCGTACTATTTGTCAGGCATGTAACTGTGTAATGATATCGACAAATAGCATCCAGTCTCTAGTCTCAAAAAGAATAATGTCTTTAGGGTGAGAATGATGTGCAAATGATTTTAGTAAGTAAAGTGTTTTATTTGATGCAAATGTATAGAGGACACCGTACCACTAAAAGCATTTGTTTATCATATAGGCACAAAAATTGATTGGGCATAGTGGAAGGAAATGGGAAGTAGACTGCGTATTCTTAAAGAGTTTTAAAGGCTGGTCTAGAACCATCCATCTACCCCATCAAAACCAGAACAATATTGTTTACATAACATTCGTGAAAGATTTTTAGCCTTTGTGCATGTGTATTCCTTTCGTCTTGAGAAATTACAAATACTTTTTGAAAAGAATACAAAGAACACCTAAGCACTTGGCTATCTTAAAATATTCAACGATATTTGTTTAAAATCTACACATATCTTCAAGAAATAAGGCGATAGATTGGGTTGAAAGCTTCCTGTATCAATCTTCACAGTGAATGGTACCCAGAGGTCATTACATTCTCCTTGCCCATTCTTTAGTATTACTTAGCGTGTAAGTACATGTCTCCTAAGCAATGTCCATTTTAATTTGTGCATTTAGAATTTTGCATACATAGTGTAACCTTAAAGAATAACTACATTTTTTCAATCTTAAGGATTTCACAACTGTTGAGTATTACCTATGTACATAGTTGACTTTTTTATTATAAAACACTATACTTGTCCTCTTTTATAAATGCCGGAGAGGGGAGGGGCTGAGCCACAGGCGCAGGGCCAGCTTCACTGCTGCTCTATTGTTCTTCAGTTGTGGGTACTCATTTACGCACACCAGCAATATATCAACAACCCTAGCTTCCTATATTCCTAACAGACTTTGACGTTTTCACATCTTCGTTTTGTCACAGTATCAGAAATACGCTGTTAATTTGAATTCCTCTAGTTACCAGGAAATGAGACATATTTTGCATGTTTGTTAGCAAAAACTGACTCCTAAGTTGTTAGAAACCCTATTTAGATTTTAGGACACAGAGTTTTAGGGTGCAAGTTTTAGTCCTGGTTGGGGATCTGGATTTGGTCTTCACTACTGACAGCCAGCACAGTAGCTACTGCCAAATGTCCTCTGAAGAAGAAAATTATATTCCTGATGTTGACAACTAGTGCTCCAGGTCAATCACTATTGCCAATTTATGTGGTTTTCCAGATTTTTTCCTTCCGAATGTGGTGCCGAATGTATAAGCTTATACTCATTCCATATTTTACAAATAGTTTTACTCTATATAATGTTTAAAAGTTATCTCTACATAAAAATTTATCACAGCTTACCATGTTGTATGTTTTCCATCTGCTGTATGCTTTTTGCAATTGTTCTAACAGTACACTGTTAACTGGAGCAGCCATTCGAAGTTCCCCCTTTTATAACTATTAGGTGATATCATATCCCCATTGCCTAGTCATCCTTCTACAACACTGGCCACTCTTTGTTCTAAAGCTAACCATAAATGTACACAGATTTTCAGGCTTATTTGGGTTTTCATTTCTGAAGGCTCCTGGGAGAAGTAAAACCCGTAGTTTCCTCTTGTTGAACTCTTCTTCACTAGGGTGCTTCTGCCTGGAAACTAGTAACAGGCGAGAAGAGACACATGTCCTCTTCTATATGGCAAAAGAATGTTGGCTTAAGCAGGTAGATATTACACGTGAAGAAATATTCAATTTCATTGATAAAACAGAACATAAAAAGAGATGGTAAGGCAGTACAACAGAACGGTTAGTGCTACAAATATGTTAAATATGGCAGTATTTGCCCAAGCAATCATAGTTGGGAAATTCTGGGAAAAGGGATAGATTTGATCATCATTTAAACAATAGGAAGATTTAAACTGGTGATAAGAAAGGTACTGCTTGGAAATAAGCAAAGGTAGAGAGATGAGAATGAATAATTATGATGTTTATTCTAATTATAATGTGTTTATTCTAGCTGTGCAATTTCATATTCTTCCACAAACATGAAAGCCACAGGAAGACAAGGTGTCCAGTTCCAGCACTGTATCCAGATGTGGTGCAGTTTTCTTCTCAGCGTCTCAGGAATGTCATCAATTCTGAAGTGCTTTTCATCTTTAATTTTTCTGTTTCAATCATCTTCTGTTTCTTGTACATGATGCTCTCAATGCTTTAGGATTATTTGCTAGTACTTAGCGCATTGCCACCATCTCTTTCCATTTCATGTGGACCCGACTACTTTTCATTGCACTTACTGCTACCATATACGAAGGCTACTAAACTTCATCAGAATTTTGATTATAGTTAGTAAGATATTATTTTTTTTGTGAGTGGGTGAGTACATATGTATGGCCACACACCTCTGCATGGACACCAGAGGACAATATTGGCTGTTGTTCCTCAATCACTTCCCACCTTGTTTTTTTGAGGCAAGGTAGCTCACTGGCTTGGAGCTTGTGAAATAGACTAAGCTGGTATTTTAGTGGGGGTTCTATTTCTGTGGTAAACATCATGACTAAAAGCAGCTCTGGGAAGACAGACTTTATTTCAGCTTACAACTCTCAGGTCAAACACTATCATGGAGCATAGTCAGGGCAGGAACTCTAGGTAGGAACCTGGAAGCAAAAACTGAAGCAGAGGCCATGGAGCAGTTCTTCTTACTGGCTTTCTGTCCATGGCTTGCTCAGCCTGCTTTCTTATATAACCCAGGACCAACTGCTGAGGGTTGGCAGTACCCAACAGTACCCCATATCAACCATTAATCAAGAAAATGCCCTACACACTTGTCTATAAGACAACCTGAAGAAGGCATTTGTGTTTTGTTTGCTTTCAAGTAAGAATCTTTCTTCCCAGATGACTTCAGCTGTGCCAAGTCGCCATAAAAGCCAACCAATATGACTAACTGGCCAGTGGACTCCAGAGACCTGCCTATCTGTGCTTTTTAAAATGTGAGTTCTGAGGGCTTGAACTCAGATGTTTACATGGCAAGCACTTTACCCACTAAGCTATCACCCTAGCCAAAGAGAAAGGAACTCATATGCATGGCAGTTTAGTAACCAAAGGTTTTATTTGTATTTTACACTAATGAACTACTATGAACTTCCAAATTTAAATGTTATTAAATAATTGAAACACAAACTGTCACTCATTTAATTAAATGAGCTGCTTCAAGAAACCAATGGCTCCACAATATTCTCCTCTCCAAGAACGAGACAGCTCTTTCCTGCTGCCTTGTGAAGAAAATATAATTTTAAGGGATTTACCATTTCCAGTTTCTCTGCCTTCAGGCGCACAGAAGGATTTAGGGAAATCTTCTTTCCTTGTGGTCCAGAATCATCATCAGTCCAGGTAGGAGCAATATCTAGGAGACAACAGGGTGCACATTAATTGGAGATCTAATTGGAATAGAACTTTTCATTTGACAAGCTGTGTTCTGGGCTCCTGCTGTTCAAAAATAATTCTGGTTAAACAGTTGGCAGGTCTTACTTTTGTTTTTATGAATTTTTCCCCCTGTAAGTCTAAAATGTATCATATAAATCAGCTTTACTTGAGCACTGAGAGATATAATATGCAGCACAGTAAATTATGCATTATGGACTTTATGGAAACATTAGCCTAAAAGACAGACTCTTAACCATTATGGTGCTCACCACAAAGCCCTGGTAACTGTAGGGTAAAAGCCTCCGTGTTCAAGCAAGTGAAATAATATTAGAGTCAGAAAGACCATGCTATTTCCATGACTGGAAAAGATAGTAAGTACCACTACAGGAACTGTGGAAATAGTCTAGAAAAACTAAGTGCAACTTCTAACATTTATGCACAGAAGGACAATGTAGGCATGCAACTTTCTGAGCTAAAAATCCCCTTCCATTTTACACAAGGACTGAGTTTCTAGCAGTAAAAGTGGACCTGTAAGAGTTAAAGGAAATGCTCTCCTCATCCATTTCCCTGTATGTTTCCAATGCAGCTTAATTATGCAGATATGCGTTTTCCTGTTTGCAGGAATGGGAAATTAGGTGCCACCAGAGGCCAGCCCTTGAGAGATGATTTAATATGCCACTGTTTTAAAGACAAATTTCAACAATTTATGTCAATCCTTCCTATCTAAGTTGTCAGTGTTCTAAATACACTCTTACATGGTATTTTACTAGTTCTACACAGAAACAAGAGGAAGAGAAAAAACTTTTTGAAATGTCACATCTTTATGCAGTGTTTTAATTTTTTTTAATTTCTCAGAGCATCTGTCTCTAAGTACAGAATGATTTGCATTCTCTTTCTTAAGAACATAAGAAGCACATATGAAAATAAAGAGTCTTCCTCTAAACCTTTAACACATCCTCAACATTCTATGCAAAATCTTTAATATAGCTTATAGGTGTTAAGAATATATATAAAAAATTGTCACTGACTTTTAGCTCCAAATGGAATTAAACCTCGAGAAGGGTTGATTTTTAGTGTGACAGAATTTTTACAGTTCTGGTAACAGCACGAAAGACTCTTTTGTTATCATGACATCTAATTGTTGGCCATGAGGTTAAAAAATATTAAATCCCTATTTTTAAGTATTAAGAGAAACTCTGTAGCAAACTTACAGTGTGGCAGAAAAGATTACCATGGGCTGAAATGGAATGGAAGAGCAAAGAGAGGTAAGGAAATTCTATTTCTCAACTGCATCTTGAGACCTGTTTCCCAGTTGGTGCCTGATCTGCAATTACGGGTCACTAACATCAGGTAAACTGAAGTTAACCTGTCAGTGGTTTCAGCCCCCCAAGTCTAACTGGCCTTGAATGAGTCAGTTCAAATTTATATGTGTGAAAATGTCACTGAGTAGATGAAAGCAACGGGCAGAGGAGAGAGAAGGGGACACACATGACAGCCACATATACCAAGGTACCCAGTTTTACTGTTTTCTTACAGTAAATCTGATATGGCAAAAGGTAGAAATAACAAGTTAGCTCTGTTTTTCCTCTAGGCAGATAGTGAATGAATTAGACTTGAGTTCATTAACCTTCATCATAACCACAATGGCATAGGCGTTATTCTCACCCCCAAACGAGGGCCTGACAAGGTAAAGAAATTAGCCCAGGCTGCACATACAGGCCATGACAATGCTACGGCTTTCATCTCTAGTGACTCCACAAACCAGTGTTGCTCAGAGTCCACGTTTTTTTCATCATCAAATTTTCATCAAAGTAGAAAGACTCAAAATGGTATTTGACAAGGACTATAAAGGCAAAAATCAGTCAAGTCATGGAAATAACTACAAAAACTGAAAAAGAGATGTTGTGTGAAGAGGAAAAGGAAGACAATATAAAACTATCTCAACCCTCAGTTTTGTAGCAAGCAAGTACTGTGCCTTGACAAAAGCTTGTTTTCTTCAGACTACCTTCCTCTACATACTGACTTCCAGGTTAATTCTTGAAGAGACACGTGCACAACACCAATGGGTGTTGACAACTCAGAGTTGTTTAAATCATGAAGTCCCTCACAGACCTCAATTGCCAAAGACTCTTTCCCTCTCTTTCTGTTTCTTTTTCTCCCTCCCTCCCTGCCTTCCCCCCTCTCTCCTTCTCTGTCCCCACCTCAAGCCTCAACCTCCCATTTGCTCCTCTCCGTGGATCCTCTATTTCTGTTCTTTTTAAGATGAGAAGAAAGGAAATGCTTTGTAAGAGTATGATCAACACTGTAAAATTATTTTTTATAATGTTACACAAAGCCTTAGAAGATCCATTTTCCCCATCAGCACCATTTGGGTTTTAAAAAGACTGAGTGCAAAGGAATTAAGCCTTATGACACTGCTAACCTAATAACACAGTTTCTTTTCCCCTAGGAATAGCTTCAGTTTATTTGCAGTTCACTCATAAACTTGCCTATCGTTTAACTTACTGCCATAATAAACAACTCTGAATTCTCAGACTAATAAATAGAATGGACAGATAATCTTAAATTATATTCATGTATAATAGTGGTCTTAAATATTCTAACTAATTTTATACTTGCAAATATCTCTGAGATGGAAAGAGAGAAGAGCCATCTTCTGTTTATTTTTGTTGAGGTTAATTATTAAAACTTGCTTACATTTTTAAGATAAATACTGCAATGGTTTGAATGTGGAATATCCCTGTGGGCTCAGCTCATAGGTTGAATTCGTGGTTCTTAGCTATTGGTATTATTTAGGGATGTAACTGAGGTGGGAAGTTTTAGCATGTAGGACCTAGCTTGTGTAGGGAAGCCTGGAGGGCTGTGTACAACTTTGATGGTTTACATTCACTTCTAATTTCAGCCTTCTCTGCAGCCTGATAGGGTAAAACGTGTGGGAAGCTTTGCCACATGCTCCCACAGTCAAATGGCTTCTTAGCCACACCTTTCCCACCATAATGTACTGACTGTTCCCTCGGAAACTGTGAGCCCAAATAATCTTGATTTCTTTGTCAGGTATTTGGTCCACTAATGAGAAAATGAACTAATGTGACTACAGACTGACTAAAGGAGTCTAGAAGGAGATACTTAAGGATCTAATATGGGAACTCTATGCTGATGTACTTATACCAGAGAAACCGTAACATGTGCAAGTTAACATGTGCAAGTTACCTGGAGACAAATTTGAGGGTGTCCTCCTCCCTGTTCTGTGTCAAATCCCATCTAGTAAATCTCATCACTGCATTTACTTAGAGATAAAAACAAGTATCTGAGTTAATGCTATTTGTAGTCTAGGAAAATATTCTGTGTTAATATTTTAATGTTATAAATGACACTTACTCAAATATATTTCTGAATAGCTACTTTCCTATTCCAAAATCAAGCATATTTTCTAATAGTCATTGGTACAAATCTCACTTTATTTACTATTGCAAGATCTGTGCTCTCATCAGACCTGCCTCTTAGGGTCCTTTGCACTCACTTATCTGAGCTCTGGGCTCTTGCTCTTGGCACCTCCTTAAATAAGGATGGTCTTCGGCCTGCTTCCTCTAAGACTTAGATGGTGTCTGATTTTTGAGGAGGTAGTTTTTTTTTTTTTTTCTTTTTCTTTTGCTTATTACGATGAGTCCTTTGCTGTATCCCAGTTTTGGAGGTTGAAGGAAGGACATAAAATTGGCTCACCCGTAAAAAGCCCTCACTTCTGCTGTAAAACCATGCTCTGGCTCTGGAATGTCATCTGAACTACACGCTAGCTTATGTTTCTGCAATGTGATTAATGATAAAAATACTGCTGAGCATATACCATGTACCAGTCACAATGCTAAGTGCATGACATGTGTGACCTTTAGCCTGTAACTTCCCCTTAAGCAACTGTCTCAGGGTCATGGTGTCTTTAAGAAACCAGGATCAAGGGATTGGATCTCCCTGCTGCTCCTGTGTTTTCCTGTACAACATGGACATAACTAGCTGTTTCCATTAATCGTATCCTGGAGCTTCTCGATCACCCTGTCCTTAGTCTACTTTGTACATGTCTTTACTTTGTTTGTGTACAATATAAATCCATATGCATGTGCAAATCTATGAAGAAATATACACATTCTTAAATGATTTCTGATTTGAGTAATGAGGATGTTAACCTAATCATTTATTTTACAGAAATAATAAGTAACTCACAGAAAGATCCTAGATCTCTCTGGAATTCCTGCTGTGCTGTGTTCATTGTTAACTAGGTAACATTTAGCAAATGTACACTAAATAAATGGCTACAGGGACTAATTAGTTTGGTTACTTTAAAAATTGAAAATTTATTACACACATGTTGCATAATTAATGCTTTTCAATATAATCAAGGCATAAAGGACCCTGACTTTCATCATGGAGCAACTCTGACTGACCCTGCATCTTGGAGTATCTACTTCATTCATCTATCTTCTTCTTTCCATGTGAATTCTCAACTTAAAATACAAACAGTCTATCAAGAGACTGGATGTTAATTACGTGAAAGGAATACTAATTAATAGTATTTCTAAGAATCACTAATCTCAGTAATTAAAAGATATAATTCTGGCTAAAGATTACTAACCCATTGGAAAGTACTTCCGCCAATCAGAAGAAATATATGATGAATGGAGCATAAATTCCTGTGAAGTCTGTCTGATGGTGGCTCTTTTCTTCCTCCCTTCCTCCCTCCCTCCCTCCCTCCCTCCCTACCTCTCTCCCTCCCTCCCTTTTTTTCTTGTGCTGGGGACTGAATACAGGCATTCATGCCTGCTAAGCATATACTCTTCTACTAAAATATACCATTTGTCCATGTTCTAGTAGCTATTTAATCTAAACTAGTTCTCTTTATTTTGTATTTCTTAGCAAAAATAATGGCATTAAAAATTAATATACGTGGGCTTCACTTTGAATTATAATTTAGCACTATGTAGTTAGCATTTTAGTTATATTACATATAGTTTCTAAATTGTCTTCTCTAACTTTTGGAGATGATTTCAAGGGAGGAATTATTTTTCTTGATATTTGAGACAATAAGAACTTTATGGTTTGACTAAAAAATCATTTTCTATATGTATCTTAGACAATTTTAATTTTATTTTATTTAAAAATAAATCACCAAGTCATTTTAGGGTAATTCAAATCAATATCAAAGCCAATATGGCTGTCCTTTCTAATTTGTATTCATAAAATATCTTCCAAGACAAACAGACAAGAGGCGAACAGACGTTTTTCTCCAGTTCTGTTCCCTCTATACTGTGTTTTCAAAGGTGCAATGGAATATCTCATGAGTACTCGAGTAAAGGGGCAATAAATTGCATCTTGACTACAGAAACCTTTCATTACTTGATTACAATCTAAATATTACAGCTTCATTTTTTATACATTTTTTATAACACACTTCTTAAAATTACAACTGTATCTTCAAATAAATTCCTAGAAAAATTTAACAGAAAGCAGCAAACAATACATTCATTTTGCTTGTTTATACATTGGAGGGAAAAAACCATAACATATCTTTCTTTAAGGTCTATTGAAAGTCATATTATGAATTCATTATTAAGAAAGCCTAATTGAAGAAAAAATAATTGGAATTAAATGTGAATATACCTGAATTAGATGTATTTGTTGGGCTGTTGTCTAAAGAAGTAATTGGAGTATGTTCTGTTTTATTGTATCCAGGTTTCGTCTGTGGAAGAAAATGAGGGAGATGATGTGTCATTTTCTAAAGTAGGTCAAAGACCAAGGTAGATATGCTCATGTTAACATAAATAGAATGTTTAAAGAGATCAAAGCAATATTTCAAAAAGGATGAAGCTCCTAATATTTGGTATTTTCATCTTCAAAGAAAGCATTTCAGAGTTGAAAGTAATAAAGGTTTCAGCTCTACAGTGTCTAAGGAAAACAGAACAGAAGGCCATGTCCCTTGCCTTTTAGAAGATACCATCTAAGGGCTGACAGGAAAACAATCTCTCTGGTCACCATAACACCTTGAAGGGACCTTGCCCTTAAGGAACTTATCCTGTTGACCAAAAGCCTACCTGTTTCTTGTTTGATTTTACTACCGCAAATTTAAAGAATCTTACAGTCTGCATCACATAGCAGATTGAAAGCAATTACATTAACTTGAATATATAAATTCCCCACTTTGTAGGAATTAAATAAGTAAGGTAAACTATTTCACAGGACACACATGCGAGGGTGATGGGAACACTCACTATAGATAGAATGGTCAGGATTTGCATTAGAACATAAGGAAGAAACTAAGGACCACACACACACACACACACACACACACACACACACACACACACAATCTATCTTCCATGAGATAGGAGTGATGTCTAGTTGTATGTTGATGCTTTCTGATTGAGTTTTTAAAGAAAGGATACATTGGCTTGAAAATCTGCATTTTACTTCATAAAAATCTAAAGAGCTTTGTTGTTGTTGTTGTTGTTTGTTTTTTTGTTTTTGTTTGTTTTTTTGTTTTTAAAATGGAGTGTGCTGGATGTCTCTACAATTTTGTTCAAAGGACTACAGAACCTCGAAAAGCTGTTGCTGCTATTGATGCATAACTGTGAAATAGTTCACCTTACTTATTTAATTCCTACAAAGTGGGGAATTTATATATCCAAGTTAATGTAATTGCTTTCAATCTGCTATGTGATGCAGACTGTAAGATTATTGCTCTTTTTATATAAATATAAATATATACATATATATATAAGCAAAATAAAATAAAATCTAAAGAGGAAAAAAGTCTTTCAAGGAAATACTAACTTATTAATAAGTATTATTAATGAAACTACAATTCTATATTGACTTAACCAACATTAGAGAAGAACATAAGGGATTGATTTATGGACTGAATATTACGATGGAGTTTAAGATTACCTGAGCTGCTTTAAAAGAAGGTAAATCGGAGTCCTGAGTCTTGGGAGTGGATGAAGTCTTCGGAACTAGTGTTTCACGGGGAGAGGAAAAAGGATTAAATGCTGAGGTTTGTGGCCCACAGTCTTCCGAAGCTTGTAATGGGGATGGACAGCAAATATTTCCTGGATGGCCTATGTAAGACTTCGGTCTGATAAATGCTATCTCCCAAGGAGATTCTGACCTATGATGAAAAGAAATGACTTTGTGAATATGCAACAAATGCAATCAAATAAATTCAAAGATAGTGTTTCTAGCAGAGTAAGTAAAAAACCTTTAGATATATATGTTAAATGATTCATCCTATCATATGGAGGGAATTATTACCTCAACTTGGCTCTGGTGATTATGTTTTTTGCTTCTTCAAATGATACACCAATCATAGATTCCTTGTTTACCCAGACAAGTTGATCTCCTGGCTTCAAACGTCCATCCTAAAAAGAAGAGTCAAAGGGAAAATTATGAAGAAAGAATAAGGTAGTTTTAATAAAATTAACATAATAAGAGCAATTCATTTTTGTGAATAATGTCATAAACACAAAATAAAATAATTTAGAGCATCCCAAGAGCAAAATGTTTTATTGATGCCTGGTTAAGTAATCTACATAAGTGAAACAGTGTGGTTTATCCATGTAGTGAATACACTGTCATGCTAATGAATATGCCTATGTAGGAAACAGGCCTGTGTGCCAGGAAAGGACACCTGTTGTCAAAGCTCAGCACTATGAGTCTGATAAGATTCTGACTGACAAAGCAAGCCAAGCACTCACTGCACATTGAATATTTCAGAATAGCAGACTCGTCCACCCTAGTGAATGGACATTCTTCTATCCTTCCTTGGGTTAACGGAGATGTGAAGATACACACACACACAGCATGTATCTATACACACACACACACACACACACACACACACACACACGTAATGCACACACACACATATACATACATACACATAATACAAACATACATATATATTCACATACACATGCATGTAACACACACACAATACAAACATGCATACACATTCACATACACTTACAATGTATACACGTAAGCACAAATATGCACACTGATTTTTTTTAATTGAGGTTAAGAAACCTAATTATATTGATCCTACCAAATCTCAGTTAATAATCAAGCATCCTCCTTACTAGACTTGCTAGTCCTCCTGTGGCCAGGCCTACTAGGCTGTGCATACAGCTTCATAACCATGCCATGCTGATTTAACTGGCTGTCTTTGTTAAGCTCTGGCCCTGCACATAACCATCCCAAGTACATAAGATCCAGCATTATCAATTAAGATTGATGTGGTTGCTGAGCCAGTATCTCGGTCACTTGGTTTGTTTGTGTTCCCCCCCCCCTCTTAATTTAACTGAGAAGGAAAGTTCGGTTCTTTTACAGACTCTAAGGTAGTTCTCTTTTCTTATCAGTACAAACACAGAAAATATTATTTCCAGTACTACAGAAAAAAAAAAACAAAAAAAAAACCCAAAGAATCAAATTCTAAGTATTCTCCAAAGCCCTGTGTGCTGGAAGCTTGGTTCCCACTTGGCATTACTGGAAGCAGTTGAGAAGATTTTAGGAGGTGGGGTGAGTGGGAGGCACTGGAAACACTGAGGACAATCCCCAAAGGAGGACTATGAGAGCCTGCTTTCTTCTCTCTTTTGTTTCTTGGACGTTAGATGAGCATTTTCATGCTGTCACATCCTGCCCAAGTATGTTGTCTTATGCCAAAAGCAATGGGCCAATCAATCAAGGACTGAAACATGTGTGAATTCAAACAGACCATCAGTTGACCAACTGAGGGATCTAGCATAGCCACAGAAGGCTGACGAATACACAAGGTTTAAAAAGTTTAGTTTTGACTTTGATGGTGTTGAGACAATCTCTACAAATTCAAGATACTTGACGTAAAATCTAACCTGAGCCAGGAAAGTGCTCAGCCACAAATGGGACATCTGTACCACCGCCTCCCATACAGCTCAGGGACACAGCTGAAGTTAAGGCAGAGATATTCTAAGAGGGCAGAGAGAACTGGATTTGAAGCAGTGTCTATTGAACATGAGGAAACCACTACCATCATGAACTCACAGCCACTGTGGCTCTCTGCAGAGCCCCCCCCCCCCACCTGAGAGGGAATGGCATGGAGGCTGGCATCCAGATAGATCTGAATTTGAATGTGAGCTCTGCAATGACTAGCCCGAACAATGAGAATAGGGGAGGTGAGAGCACATCCTCTCACCAGGAACCAGAAATCAAACTCCGGGCAGCTGGAGCTAAGGCCTGTACTAATGCCTCTTACAGAAAATCACTGCCGGAATACAGAAGAAAAGGCTACAAAAGTCCAGGTGGGCAAAAGGGCTTGGACTGACCTGCAGCCTCCCTCATTCTCTGCTCCAGCCATACAGTATTTTACCTGTATGCGTTACAGGAACATTTTTCAGAGTGTATTGGGAGGAGGAGAGAAGGCCTCTGGCTACAGGTTTCTAGTGTGCACACATATTTTTACTCCTGAACATGTATTTGCAGCAGTGAGTGTTTTTCTTTGCCTTTTAGAATAAGATATTAGCTGATCATACAAATTTTTGAACCTGTTTAAAAGTCAGAGGATGGGAGTGAAAACAAAGCCAGGTTTGTAAGTCTGGCATCCTAAGCCGGTGAATTCTGCCCCAGATGGGTTAATATACAATATATGTGTAGACATGACTCGAGGGAATGCCAAGGCCTCTTCCATTCACAGGTTACAGAGCAGCTGCAACACGTGGCAGGTAAAACGCCAGGCATGTCTAAATGTTGAACTTCAGTTTGAACACTCTCTCATTTGACAATAATGTACCTGTCAAAATAATATGTTCCTGGCCACATAAGTTCTGTTGTAAATTACCATCACTGTTCATTTCAATTAGGATTATAACATAAAGTTTTCAAATAACATCTTATGGCATAATCAGAAACCATCTATTGAACCTGGTTCTGACAGAACTAATTACTCAGAAAGGCAACGTTGCTTCTGTAAGTCTTTGGATTCCTTTCCCAAGCTATGAACTAGATGTAGCCTTCCTTTAACTCTAGTTACTACTGTAAACACAAGTTGCGGTGATGTCCGAGACTCCATTCATTTTCCTAGCAAAAGAGTTGGTATAAGTATCTGCAATATGAGCTTAGTGTAAGAATCAAAGAATACACGCAAAACATGTTGCAGGTGGTAAATAAAGCAAGCTGAATCAGTCTCACATTTCCTATGGTACATTTCAGGAGAAGCTCAGTTCTACTGCTCTTGAGATGGAGCCCACAGCTAGGAAAAATACGAAAATCCTTAACCTTCCAAGCCTGCTGGAAACTAACTACAACTATCTTTCTCTAGCTTCATCACACACCTTTTATCTTAGCATAAAGATTCCTCATCCTCTTTTCAGAGAATGGTCCTCACACCAGCTGTCATCTTTCCACCTCAGTGACTTTACACATGGCCACTTTGATCAAGAATGCTATCATCCACTCCCATTTCTCTAAAGGACAAACCCTCTCACCTCGAAGGTGGGCCTCAACACTATCTTTCCTAAACAAAATACACATTCATTTACCTGTGTCTTCAAACTTACTTTATACTGTCCTCATTTACACTTACTTTCACACTTTTGCAAATTAGAACACATTAATATTGATACAGCTAACTCTCAGACGAGTCACACTTACTCCTTTGGTTGGCTTGATCATGCTACCGTTTTTGGTTCCCTAGCACAGTGCAAAGAAATCTAGTAAGTCAACAGTAAGCTAAGGAGGTCCAGGAACTACCTTGAGGAAGTTAACGTGGTTAGGTGATAATAGAAACAATAACGGTAAAGAGAGTGATACTGCAATGTGAACCATGGCTGCTGCTTCCTCAGTGTTCACAACGGGACTTCTTTCTGTCTTCCAGAAGCCTTACTGTCCTGTGCATCCAAATGCTTTGATTATAGTTCAGCAATGTGCTCAGCATACCTTCCTCAGGAAGTGAAATATGGCCTTCCATGCATTGTGAGCCATGACTAACTGGGGGCACCTATGTCAATGGGACTTTTGTCTTTACTTACAAGCTTGACAAAAATTCCTCAGTTTATCAAACCTAAGATGACAATCGCTGCAAGAGATCCTACATCTTTAAATAGTGAGGAAGAATACTGCCAAGTACACCGTGGCATGGTTGGTGAGGGGCATTCCAATTTCAGAGCTAGGAGAGGAAATATACCTTTATAGGCAAACAGGTATAGTGCATAGCACTATATATATAGCACATATATAGCATAGAGCTTATATATGTATTTTAAACATGTCTAAGGATCAGCTAAATGAAATATGAAATGCTACTTCATATATGCAGAAGCTTTCTTCTTTATGTTATTATAAATGAAAGAAAAGAAAACATTTGAAAACTTTAAAAAGTTACCCGTCATGTGACACACCGGGCCAAGAAGGAGACACATCTTGGTCAGGAGTGCAGTTGATAGCAGTGGAATGGTAAACAGACAGAAAGGTGACAGAATGATCATGGCAAATCCACTCATTAATATCTGAGTGAATCACACTAAGGAAATTACTGTAAAGAAATCAGATGGAGTCCTTGCCTTTAGGAGGAATAGTGACCAATGGTTCAGCCTAGTTAAAATAATCAGAGACATGGATGTCCCATTACAAACTGAGCTAGGTGACAGGAGCATGGGAACAAGACCTAGCCACACACACAGGAACAATAAAAACCTGTCCTTATCTGCAGTTGCACTGAAGGACAGGAAACAAGTCCTCTGCCAAGTGTTCTTTAAACTGACACCTGGAATTGTAGTACGGAAGAAGGTGCTGTTCCCAGCTTAATGGAACAATATACCTACACAGAGATAAGGAAGGGTAGGCTCTCTCAGAAAGAGGGAATGCAAGTTTGTGAGTGTAGAGATGGCAAAAGAGAAGGGCAGAAGGCAGAAGGGGGTCTACACAGAGGCCTGTAGGTTACTAATAGTAGTTCAGGTAGTTTGGTGGGAGAGGAAATAGGCACAGTGCATTAAGAACAGATAAAGTGTGCCAATGAAAACCAATGACAGACTAAAGCCTGAGAGCTCAGAGAGACTGCTCAGCCAAACACTGCCTGCTGTGTAAGCAGGAGAAGCCTAGTACAGACCCCCAGCACCCACAAAAAAAAAAAAAAAAATCAAGCAATTTCAGTGCTGGGAAAGAGGAAAAAGGTGGATGCTCAGAGCCAACTGGCCAGCCAGTCTAGCTTAATTAACCAGTTCTAGTATCAATAAGAGACCCTGTCTCAAAGGTTAAGGTAGAGATATTGGCATTGACTTCTGACCTCCATTTTCATGTGCACATACATGTACCTGTACCAACATACACATACACTTGTACACACATACCACACACACACACACACACACACACACACACACACACACACACACACACACAGAGAGAGAGAGAGAGAGAGAGAGAGAGAGAGAGAGAGAGAGACTAATGGGCTCAAGAGAGTCAAAAGGTCAATAGCATGTGCTAAAATAAAGTGGACTATGGTTGTTATGATGAGGGAAAAAGGAAATGATTGGGAAAGAGCTTTGAAAAGCGATTAAGAAGAGACTATTATTTGGGAAGAAATGAGAAGACGGTATGAGGTAAATACCATGGATTGTGCCATTGTGCCTCAGAAACATTGGTTCTGAGATACCTCTAGGAGAGCTAAGTGGAGATTCTCATCAGGAAATTAGAAAGCTGAGTATGAAGATGGAGGGAGTGTTGAGGTCAACAGGTTTAGGAATGTTCTCTGAGGACTCTAGACTGCCAGGGACTACTAAGTGGGGCGAAGGGGCTTTCAGACTCTGCTACAGGGGATCTGATGCCCTCTTTTGGCTTCCATAGGTACTGCATACATATGATAAAAGAGAAAACAGGTACTTGCACGCCTTCCCCGCAGTTTTTTAAAAATTATAGCCAACTTAAAGCACACATGAAATTGAAATTCAGAAAATAACTAACATAACAATGATAAGCCTGGAATTCTAGTAAGGAGAAGTTTGTAGCCTATGTTTCTATGAATATGTGCTTGCACACCAAGTAGGCCATATACAAATTCTGTACAGATTAAAGCTGAATTCTATGTTAGATCTGCTGGGTCAAATCTGTAATAGCAGCTACTCAGGAAGCTTAGAGAAGAGTTCTACCTGGATTCTGGAGTGAGTTCAAGGCCAGCCTGGGCAACTTAGTGAGACCATGTCTCAAAAACAAAAGACTGCCAAGAGTGATAGGATGCTTTCTTAAAACAGAATCTAGGTTACTAGAAGCATATTATCAATAAAATGTTTACAGTGAAAGTGCATCTCTTTTGTATTTACCTATAGCATTCTGTCTCAAGGAAATACTAAAAAAATAAATAAATATAAGGACCGGAGAATTACTTATTCATCTATACTTTTTTTTCTAGTTGGTTTTCTTGTTTTGCACATATCCTGAACATTAATAACTTCATGCTGCACTCTAGTGGTAAATGAAGAAAACAGTCCATTAGAAAGTTTTGTCTTTCAGTACACTTCAACCAATAAGAACAGATATATATCATGAGCAGAGTATCTTAATCTGCTGTGGTTTAGCAGTTAGAAAGCCATTTAAAATTACTGTTTTCAATTTATTAGTCTAATTTAAAATATTTATGGAAATAAAAGGGCACAATTGTTCTTGTTTTAAAAGCAAATTTGTATTATTATCAGGACTTGTAATATGAACATTTGAGAGTCTGAGTTAGGAGGACTGGCATGAGTTGGAGGCCAGTGTGGGTTGTACAGTTGAGGTCCAGGTCAGCCAGGTCTAAGACAAAGTCTCTGTCTCTAACAGGTAAGCTAGCAAACAACTTAAACTATACTAAATGCCTCCCGTCTCCCATTCTCCCCACCCATATCTCTAAGCTTCAAAATTGAAGTGAGAGTGAATCTCTTCATTCATACCAAAAAAAATTCTTGGGGAGAGAGGGCTTGAGTTTGTTTAATGTTAACATTAAACTATGCTATCTGGTTAGTGATTTAATTTAGATAGCTAAAATGTATATCAATATAATACCTTAAACTGGTAATAATTTACAACTTAGAAATATATTGGAGAGACGCTTAGAGTTTCAATTGTTGTGATGAAACACCATGCCCAAAAGCAACCCCGGAAGGAAAGGAAAGCATTTATTTCACTTACACTTCCTGATAACAGCCCATCACTGAGGAAAAAAGTCAAGGCAGGAACTCAAGCAGAGAAGTAACCTAGAGGCAGAAACTGATGCAGAAGCCACAGTACTTTTAACCTGGCTTGCTCCTTATGGCTTGCTCAGCCTGCTTTCTTAGGGCACCTAGAACCACTAGGCCAAGGGTGTCCCCACCCATGACAGGCTGGACCTACATGCATCAATCACTAACTAAGAAAATGCCCTAGCTTTCCCACACCCTGAGAGCTATGGCGGCAATTTCTCAACTGAGTTTTTCTCCTCTCAGATTACTCTAGTTGTTAGTGTCAGGTTGACATAAAATGAGCCAGCACAGATGCCTTGTGAAATAAACAAACCTGAAACAGATCAATCTTTACAATGGTTTTGGTGAAAGTGTTTTTTTTTTTTCCTTCCTGGGGAAATAAAATCCAACTGAAAAGACAGTTTGCTCTGTAAGTGTCTTCAGTGGGAGAAGGGCAAACTGTAATTATTCAACAAAACCCCCAAAGAACAACTATAAGAATAAACTTAGAAGATCCTTTATCAAGATATCTAGGTTGATATAAATAAAACCTCCAAGAGGTGACAATGCCAGCAGCATAGCAGGTTTGTTAACTGAGTTATTGTAGTTTTGCTTAAAATTTGGCCCTGAGTTCCTTAGCTACCAGAAAAAGAAATGGGTGCTCTATCACATACTTTGTATACCAAGGATGAGATTAAGAAAAAGGATAGACACTGTCTGCTCTTAATTCTAATCTAGTTTCTCTCTCCAATGCTGACTCTAGTCTCTTGAGGACAAATAATAAGATCCACTAGTGAGTCAATGAGAATTAGTGCAAATCAGGAAATGAGACAGTTCAGTTTGGGTTTTCTTTCCTTTAGCTCAAGGTCAGGTGACCAGTGTGATCCAAACTCAGCAGGCACATAGGAAACATGTCTTCAGATACAACTTCTCTGAACTCTGCTTCGGAGACGGTTTGAACAGCATGTCACTAAGCAATGTACAACCTTTAGTTAGAGTCTGACATATTTATTATTTGCATACTTGGAGAATTTATTCACATGATAGGGAAAAGCCCTTGAGGGTAAAGGCCCCCCTTGTATATTTCATTGAGAACAATCAACTCATATAAAAACAATTTACTGAAGGAAGAAAACAAATCTTAGCACTGGTGGGTTTTTGCCATTACTGTTTATTTTATGTTTACCTTGTAACAGTCGCCTCCAGGAATGATTTCCTGAATATATACCAACGGTCCTTCATTTCTGTTAATTCCACCTAGGATCTTTAAACCTAGGCCTGTTTCCTTAGTAACTGTAATCACTCGGCAGGCAGGACCCCTAGGATAAAATATATTAGCACTCACAGGTTAGGCAAGACATCTATAAATAGAAGTTTCTGTCAGCTATTTGCTAGATCAAATTGTCAGATCTATGTAACCCAAAATGTTACTAGCAAGAACATTTGAAGAGGATCATAGAAGAAAAGAAGCCAAATGAATTTTTATCAGTATTTTAAATCATCACATAAAGCATAAACAATTAGTGAGAGCAGTGTGCCTATTTCTTAGGTGTATAAGAAAAGCAGTTTTTAAATGTTACTTAAGTAAATTCATGGATTTATTTAAAAGGACCTGAGATTTGTTTTTTCAGCTGTTCATAAGATTGGTCTTAAAATCAATGTTTTACTGTACCAGGTAAACAACTTCATGATTATAGGTTCTTACAGCAAAATAAATTTACATCCACATGCATCTCAAAAAATTATCCTTTTAATTTAGGAAGAGAGTTTTATTGTTACAAAGCACTTGTTTTAGTTGTTATTTCTGCTACACATGAGAAATGCCACCAAAAGAGAAGTATCAGAAGAACTCTACCAAAGGTATGTCACCAACTTGTATTTCTGAACATGCTGGTCAAACAAAACTTAAAGTTAGAAACAAAGCTGGGCTTCATGCTCCCACATTACTTAGTGAGACCTGTGTTAAGAGGTATAAACATAAAAATGCTAATATATTTAATATTTATAGAACCCTTTGTTTTAGTTGTTTTCACACACACACACACACCCTTTCATTTTAGACTATTCTGGAGAGAGTGGACTATATGAATGCATACATACATGCATACATACATGTCTATATAGATTTCTGTATATCTACACATGTATGCATTTGTTTATGCAAAAAGGAGAACCAAAAAGAACTAAGAATAACAATGATTATCCATAGAAAGACTGAGGGCATGGGACAGGAAGGATTAGAGGAGACCTTCCCTCCTTAATGCTTGTAAGGTATGTTATATGTTTACAAAATACTAGTTTCTTTGGTTGATGTCCACATGTTACTTGGTAAGGGGCCTTTCTAAAAGTCATAGTTATCTTTACTACTTGAATTTGGCCTTGCCTATTGGATTGCTTTGGTGTCCACAGGATACCAGCAAAATCAAATGTGAGGAAGACAGATATTTGTAAAACACTTAATGCTGCCTGCTAGGGACCATTCTGCCACTATTTGACAAGGCCTAAGTTAGCCTCCTGAAGGATGAGAGATTAGATGAAAGGAAGTGAATTCAGTCACCCAGCCTTTGAGCTGAGGTGTCAGACACTGTTATACCATCAATTATCCACCGGAATTTCTCAGCCAGCCCATAGAATTATAAGGAAATAAAGAATGCTTATTGTTTTAAAACATGTGGGGACGGTTAGTCAGCAAAAGCTAAACTTAGATCAATTTCAAAAGAATCAAAGCAGATTTAAAAAAAAAAATCCAAAAAACAAAAACTCCACAATCTGTACAAGGAATTTTAAAGAGAATGCAGGGTTTACTCTGTGTATTGATTTACATTTTACTACGGTTTGGAGCTGTGCCCCAAAGGCCTGTGTTAAAAGGCTTGGAGTGCTATCGAGAAGTTACTGGTGGTACCCTCAAGAGGCAAGGCCTAGTTCTAGGGCACTAGAATACTGGGAGAACGGCCCTGGAAGCAACACTGAGAGCTGCCTCTTGGCCACTCTGCAGTGAGGAGACCAGAAGGGCCACGATGTTGCTGTGCCTCCACAGGCTCAAAGAGAAGGGAACACACACAGAAACCTGAGGCAAGAGTCTTTCAAGTTTCAAAGTTGATTATCTCAGGTGTTATTACCACTGGGATGGAAGGCTCACCAGCACACACCAAAGCCCCAGTAATTCGACGGACGAATGTATCACTTTGCTCATTGCTCAGTATTGCTTCCCTAGGCCACAGAGCTACAAAACAAAACCTGACAGTGTACACATTTCCAAACATATTAAATAACATTTAAAAATTACATGGCTATGTAAATATGAGTAGTAATTAAAGGATTAAAAAAATAAAATAAAAAAATTACTTTTCAAGTAGGCTGGATGATCCTGCAGCAGATGTAGATCTATTCATGCTTTCACCACAGTTGCCTTGGATTTCACAGCTGTGTAAATGCAGAACTTGGAGAGTCTAAATATTCTTCTTTTCTTCAGACTGGAATAACAGAAAATAAGTTTTCAAGTCTTAGGCCATTCCAACGAAATTCCAATGCCACACAAAGACATTATATATACTTGGCAATAGACAACATCTGCCTGTGTATTTCTACTGATGTATTTCTCATGGGCTATGACCTTGTGGCCATTGATGGTAGCATGAGGAGCATCAGGACAGCTTTCGACACAGATAGATGGACCTATCCCTGCATCACTGTGAACATAATAAACCCATGTTCTGTAGAACAGGTGAAGACTACAGTGATGTTTTTGGCAGTGATTACAATTTCTCTGAGTGATAAGCTCAAAAATGCAAAAGACTGGAAAGTGTCTTCCGTGAGCACAAGGCTGTGGAGCTAACAGTCAGAGAAATAATTATACTATATAGTTGAAGAAAACAGAAATTCTGAACTCACCAATTCCCCCGAGTGTCTTCTTGCAGATTCTATATGACTCCAGCTCATATTACTCCACTTCATGAGTTTCTTAAACACTTTCCTATGAAAAGGAAAAAGGCATGGCTTTAATGTCTTATATAACTCCGCAGTGAACAATACAGAATTGCTTAATTAAAACAGACTACATTTGAGCAGAGATTCACTACCTGTGAGTGAGAAAGAGCCGAGGAACTTCCCTTTAACACAAGGAATGCACATTACATGCAATCCTTTAACTCTCCCTCAAGTGTACTCCTGGGAGGTAGAGAAGATACATTCTAAGGTCCAAGTGTCATTTTTTACCAAAATGCAGGTTTTGCTTAATTTTTTTTAAACTGTGACATGGTATACTTGATAGAAAACAGCCAATAATTTAAAATTGAAAACCCTATCTGGATCATCCCGTACAATTCTCCTAACTAAAGAACTGAGGGAAGAAATTCAGAGGCATTGTGCTTTTCCACACTGATGCACAATGCTTGCCTCCTCAGCCAGAACTTGGGCTTTGGAGTCTACACAAGAAATCTTGGCATTCATTACCCCTGGCTCCAATTGATGTTTCCAGGCTTCACAAAGCTGATGTCTCAGCTTCATTGATACAACAGGCCCCTTGATAGTAGTGATGTGTCCATCAGTGTACACACACATAGTAGAAACTTACCAAACATTTCGTTTATCTCACATTTGCTGTAAATCAATTACAGAGTCAGAGAACCAAAACAGGGGGCTTATCCTACCTTTCTCCCAACCACTGTACATGAGAGACATAAAAACCTCTTCTCTATATAACCCAAGGGACTCTGGACAAAGAACCAACAATCAATCTTTAGGAAGCTTAGCCAAGAGTTATACTCCCTGGGCCTTACCAACATAGCTGGACCTCCCAGCACCTGCAGCAGCAAGTGACACAGTGGAGACACCCAGGTCATGAATGGCCAGAGAAATGATGCCACCAAGCCACTGCACTGTCATCAGCAAAACTCCAGTGGCAAGAAAGTTACTCAGTACTACCGCTCAGGGAAGGAGAGATGATGACTTGTAGAAGAGCTTTGATTGATACTAACTTAGAGTCTGGAGCCACTGCAGCCACAAGAGTTCAATTCTAAGGGTGTTTGCATGGACTTTTCAGATTGCTTTCATAGTGCAGCACAAGCGGTCTCAGCCCTAAAGAGAGGACATTCAGACAGAAAATCAGAGTGGCTACTGTTTATTGATACTGTTAGACCCCCGGAAAACTCAGGTATCCGGGGTCCCAGGCCACAACTGCGGTCACCCCAATCACCAGGCGAATTCGAGAGCTTGCTGCAAACTGCACGAGGCTTTATTGTAATTTAACGAGATAACCCCATGTTAGCTCGGGTCTTTCACCCACCCGCCATGGCGGATGGCTAGCAAAAGACCGCTCCTAGGGCCTTCCAAGAGATCTTAAAGGGCAGCGTAAGGGGAGTGTCTAGGGGTACGCACAGGCTCACTATTGGTGTGCCTCCAGGCTTGGAGGGCTTGCCCTGTGTTGATTGGTCAACTGGTTGTTATGGCCCATAGGCCCTCTCAGGGTAGTTGCTATGCTTTGTGCGTCATTGCTGTGAGTTTGTCCGTAGAGCACACCCAGGGTCGTAAAGCATAGCACCACCAGCTAACTTCTGATTGGTTCCTTGTCACGAGGCAGGCATCTGACTTTCTAGTGACTAACTTTAACTTCTGATGGGTTCCTTGTCATGAGACAGGCATCTGACTTTCTAGTAACTAACTAACTTCTGAGTGGTTCCTTGTCACAAGGCAGGCATCTGACCTCTAAGTGACCAAGGCAAGTTTATGGCAAGCACGTGTTTGGCTGTTTTGGCTGCCAAAAGGGGAGCAGGTCCCTTCAATACCATGAGCCACAGATTATATGAAATGTTTCAGATGCATTTATTTTACTTTATATCACAGAAAATGTAAGAGATGTGAGTTAGAGAATCAAGTTCAAATGACAATATTGCCATGAGATAGTGACATGGCCTCAGAAGTCAATTAGTCTTTTGGGATCATCTCATACTAATGTAGGAATAGCAACACCTAGCCCAAAGGGGAATATGAAAAAAAGGGAAAGGGGGGAGGGAGAGAGGGAGAGAGGGACGGAGGGAGGAAGGAAGGAAAGACAGGAAGGAAAGAAAGAAAGGAAGGAAGGAAGGAAGGAAGGAAGGAAGGAAGGAAGGAAGGAAAATCCCAGCAGCTTCCTACTGTTTACTAAAGTGACTAAGATCTCCATCTAGTGGTAGTTTGTCCTCACAGTCCATAGCCTCCCTGGAAGACATGCAAATGTAAGCGTGCATTAATGCTAGCTAGTCTCTATATTGGATTTCATGTAATGCCAAAATTGGCATTTAAAAAGCAATTCTATTTCAAAGTATTAAAATTTAAGTGCCCAAATTATTTCACTCACTTAAACATGCTGAGCAGTGCATTACCAGGTTACAGATGAGCAAGAAGCAGAAACTAGCCTCACAGACAGTCAAAAAAATACCAGAAGGTGTAAGTGTGCTGAAAGTGGTGTACACAAGGGGGCTGAGAAGTTTGGAGGAAATATACCTATCCCAGAATTTGGAGTCATCAATAAACATCAATAGAGCCCGTGGCCACTGTAGATTTTCTTCTCTAGGAGTCTCACAAGGCAAACAATATTAAACTGATTTTATATAAAAGTTACAGAGAAACTACATGACTCATCTATTATCACAAGCCAGATACAAAGTGTAACTTATTTTTCCTAGCATTAAAACCCAAGCCTTTTCTATTCAGCGTGCTATGAAATAAACTTATGTGGACAAGTTCATTATCTCTTTACATGAAGACACCAGTATGGAAACTTTTGCATAATAGCACGAGTATGATCTTATCCATCCAAACAGGTGTGTGTGTTTGTGTGTGTGTGTGTGTTCACACTGACTGTAAGGGCTTATCTTGTGTAGACAGAGAAGGAGTGGAAAGATGCTCAGTGAGGCTCTTCCTAAAGGAGGGTACTGTTCCTCTTTCCAAGGATATAGGGGAGAAATTTTACTAGGGCTGGGGATTCACACTATATAAAGTAACTAGCTTCCTGGTAGAGCAGTAAGGAAATAAGGAAATATAGGGCACAACATGACTTGCTCAAAAAAGATGTGGCGTGTGTGTGTGTGTGTGTGTGTGTGTGTGTGTGTGTGTGTGTATGTTGTGTGTTAACACAGCTCTGCAAATGTGGGTGCACATACACATGAATATATGGTGCCTTTAACTGGAGATCAACATCAGGTGTCTTTCCTTGCCTGCTCTATCTATCTATCTATCTATCTATCTATCTATCTATCTATCTATCTATCTATCTATATATTGAGGCACATGTCTCAGTGAATCTGAAACTGACCAATTCAGTTGGCTAGCTGGCAAATGAGTTTAGGGTTGTGACAAGCTTTTAACATGGATTCTGGGGATCCAATCTCAGGCCTTCTGGCTTGCATGGTAGGCATTTTACCAACTAAGCAATCTCCCCAACTAAATCCAAGATGCTTTTATATTTTTTTATGTATGTCCCTTCTCCCGTGTTTGTTTCTTACCTCTTTTTTTTAATTTATGCATGTGTAGTGTAAGTGCATTTGTGTGGATATGTGTATATGAGTGTGCATGCAAGTGCCTGGGGAGAGGTTACATCAAGTATCCTCCTTAATCATTCTCCATCTTCTATTTTGAGGCAGGGTCTCCCACTAAACCTGGGGATCACTGATCTGCTTGAGAGATTTGCCTTTCCTGTTCCTCTGCAAGGGGATGGCCAAAGGATGCCATCACACCAGACTTTTTAGGTGGGTACTGGGGCTGACCAACTGCGCCATCGTACCAGCTCTGAACCCCTTCCCTTTCTTGTACCCTAAGCTGGCAAGCCTTTGATCAATCAAGGTTCTAGTAATGTCATACACATAGTCACATGTACAAGTATGACACACTTTCACAGAACGACACGAAGCAAAACTTTTTTTCTTTTACTAAAAATATAAGCACTCCATGAAAATATATTGCTTATCCTGTTTGCTGAGTCAGAAGAGAGAAAAGATCAGGTCAGCAAAAACAGAAGCTGGAACACTACAGAAAAGCATTTTGTTTTATAGGATAAATTTATTTCATAAAATTAGGCTTTACTTTAATAGATCAATCTCTTCTCTTACAACTTAACTAAACTACAATAAATCAGAAATCTTATCAGATAAAAAAATCTGCCCATCGTGCACACAATTTTTTGTTAAGACTTGGTAATTTATAACCTCAATAATTTCTAAAATGAGATATTTTAATATATCAAAAGCACAAAAAAAGTAAACTAGGTAGGCATAAAATATATCAGAAAGGATGAAATTACCAGGCATATCGTAAAGAAACTGATACAAATTTCAACTACGTCCCCCCAAAATAGTGTCTGTTATTCTAAATGTCACCATCGTGATTAATTTCTAAATCTTTTTGAAGTCTTAATGAAAACTGTATTGTAAGGAAGCTAGAAACTTTTGCTTCCTTCTTTTTGCTTTTAAAACCATTTTAGCAAAAAAAAAAAAACCCTGCTTATTTTGTGTTTTTTTTTTTTTCTGTTCAATATCCCTCCATCAGCAATAAAACTGCAAATATACTTGTTTCTCTTTATTCTGGGTTATGGAAATTTTTATGTAAATACATGTGGCTGTATTTACTGATCTTAGATGGTTTCTGTACTTAAGTCTGAACTAGAAAATCCTTTGCCACTCCAAGGTAAGTAAGTCAGTTTCAGGCATTTTCTTTTGGGGCTTTTATGACTACATTTAAAAATCCTTGAAACTATCTTAGGATGAATGTCAAGGACAGACCCAGGCCCACCCGACTTTGCTCCTGGAAGATCATCCACACGTCTGATCACATTTACAAGCTGTTTGCCACCTCTGATCTGAGATGCAGTTTTGAGACTAATTCTTGTATTTGGATCAATTCTTGTAATTTTCATTTGATTTTTTGATTACCTTATTTATTCATGCACCAAAATTAATTTATTGTAATTAATAGACTTTATAATATGTTCCCACATTTTGTTAAACCAATTCCCCCTTGTTATTTTATCTAGCCAACTTTTCTTAGCTTTTTTGGGGTTTTTATATGTACATATTAACTTCAAATATATCTTTTGTTTATATTTTCTTTTGTGACTTCCCACAGGGTTCTAAAGTTATCTTCATATCTACCTTGTAAATTTTAAGTTAATCTTTAAATACTTCCTTCCCTTAACTTAAGACCTTTTAAAAATCTATCTGGTGGGCCAAGCATGGGACCCAAGTTCCATCCCCAGAACCCGTGTAAAAAGCTGAGAGCCCTTGTAATTCCCATGCTGGGGACTTGAGAAAGGAGGGTCACTGAGCCTCGATGGCCTGCAAGTAGAGCAAATCTGTGAGCTCCAGTTTTAGTAAGAGATGGTCTCAAAAATAAGGTGGAGAGTGATAGAGGACACCTGATGGCAACATCTAGTCCCCTCCAACATGTACATGCACCCACTTCTGCATGCTCACTCACGCATGTACACATATGAATACACAAACTGGCACTCATGGGTTGTAAATGACAAAAAGGCTTAACTGTAGTATCATCTAAAAAATAATTTCCTACTCCAAGCTCTAAAAACAAATAGATGTCTTAAATGAAAAAAGTTACTTGCAAGCCAACAGATGGCAGCACAAGTACACACACACACACACACACACACACACACACACACACACCCCACACACACACACACACACACACACACACTCTCTCTCTCACACACACACACACACACACACACACACACCCCACACACACACACACACACACACACACACTCTCTCTCTCACACACACACACACACACACACACACACACCCCACACACACACACACACACACACACACACTCTCTCTCTCACACACACACACACACACACACACACACACCCCACACACACACACACACACACACACACACTCTCTCTCTCACACACACACACACACACACACACACACACCCCACACACACACACACACACACACACACACTCTCTCTCTCACACACACACACACACACACACACACACACACACGTGTGTGTGTGCCCTTTTGTTGTTAAGTGCACATTTTGCAATATGTTGATTTATACACAAGCGCA